GAAATGGAGTTGGACAATAGGGCTGGAGTTGGTTATAAATGGAGGAGAAGAGGGGCTGCTTCAAGGTAAAAATAGAGGAGGGTTGTCGGCATCTCGTTTAGGGGTTTTTTCTTGTGGTTTAGGTCGTGGTGGCCATGGATGATAAATGATAGGTTTTTTGGTGGTTAATGGTGGTGTTTTGAGGAGAGATGAGTGGAGAGAGTTTTTTTTTCTTCTCTTTAGGTTTCTTTCTCTATAAAAAAGAGGATTGGCATCCCTTTTTTATGTGAGAGAGAAAGAGAGCTTATATAGTGTGGATTGTTAGGGTTTTGAGAAAAACCCTAACTTGCCATTTTCCTTTCATCTTTTATTTTTATTTTTTTCAAAATCTGTTTTCAATGACTACTATTTAATTGAACCTCCAAAGAAAATTTCTCTCAATTCCAATTTCTATTGTTTTTTTAATTGGACTCCAAGTCCTAAATTTTCATTTTATCTTTCTCTTTTCTTTTTCTTCTCTTTTGTTTCTTTTTTTCTATTAATTTTTCTAAGCTTTCGAAATTATGGAATTCCTAAAAAAAATCCTAATTCTAGGATAAAAATTTGCACAATCAAGTAAATTAAACAAAGTACATTTAATTTTTTTTCATTTTATTTGGAAAAATGTGTAAAATAAAAGGGTAAAAAATTGAGTAATAACGGTCTATATGGTGGATGAATTGGTTCACATATATCACCTTGAATACGTTTTAAAATTATCGAAGATTCAATCTTAATTTTGCTTAATGTTGACTTAAAAATCAATTTGCTTTAAAAATATGCAGAACATAAAAATTTATTAGATTGAAGAATCTTTTGGCTCTTTAATGGATGTCCATGTGAATTTTTAATAATTTTTTTGCATTATAATGGAGCTAGGATGGCCTAACTAGTCATTTCAAAGAATAAAAAATTAGTAAACTTCTAATTTACTATAACATCTCGTTTCAATCATTTGAATATCTTTTATAATAAAGACCAAAAGAGAAAACAAGTAATTGCTCTAATATATGTTTTCTACCTAATATAATAGCTATAATATATAAATATTCAATATTTTCTATATTTTTTTTGTCTCGATATGATATATATTTAGACAAATATCTTTGAAACTTAATAAATTTCTATGAGACTTAGGAGAGAATAAGACATCATTTATAATAAAATTTATCCCTTTATATAATAGTATATTCATTTTTTCGTAGTCTTCAATTATATTGATATTACATAATATAGTATTAACATTAGCTTTGCTCGTTATTAAATGAAAAAAATATTTTTTTGTTTGTGTTGTTGCACTATCTACAAGGTCTAAATTCTCATATTTGATTTTTAAACAAATTATATACTTAGTAGTATCCATATATTCTTCATAGAGACAAAATAAATAAGTACATAGCAAAATAAATTTATAACTATCACGATACAATAGAAATTATAAAAAAATATAAAATATATTATTTATAAATAGAAAAGCTAACAAGTCATTAATTTCAATTATTTTAATTAATTTGATGATTTTTTCTTCAAACTTTTTAGAACATTTAAACGAGTCGAATTGCAAAGATCATCAAGAGGATCATTGTCTAAAATATCATTATGATACATAAAATTTGGCTCCATATTTTTTCTCTTTTTTCAATGAGGCTTGATAAAACTCAACAAGATGCTTTGGCGTATGATAGTTACGCGGCCGGTGTCTTTTTATGTCACAAAATAACATTCGTTTTTAGAATGCTAGCTTGATCCACTTTTAACTTTTTCTTACTTTTTTGTATAGTTCATCTACTTTTGATGGTAAAGTGTATTATTATGGTCACCACGATTATAACAATAATTATTTCGACTATGACTACGATCGCATTCACGACGACAAGTCATGACCATGTCCTCGTCCACCTTTAGAATTATCATAAGTTGTCACGTTCACTTCGGAAAATGGAGTAGAACCGGTTGGGCAAGATTCATTTTTTTCATCCATAGTTCGTTATTTTGTTCGATAATAAGCACATATAGCATCGATTTAGAATATTTTTTTCTCGATATTGATGCTTGTAAGAGCATATTTGAGGCATGAAAAGTAGATAATATTTTTTCTAACATGACTAAATCAATAATATTTTCTCATTACAATTTAAGTTGAGAACTAATTTTAAATATCATAAAATTATACTCACTTATTGTTTTGAAATCTTGTAATTGTACGTGCATCCAATCGTAGTGAGCTTTTGGAAAAAAATTATAATTTTTGGTGGCTATGTTTTTTCTCTAACTTTTTTTTTTAAGGTTCAAATGTATATTTTCTTGTCAAATATTTAGTTTTCAAATCCTCATAGAGATAATGACAAAAAAAGATCATTACCTTAGCACGGTTTTACAAGTATTCTTGATTGCCATCTTTGATTGTTTCTTGAAAGCTATTAGCGAGTTAAATGTATCTCAACATCAATCATCGATGATAAAATAATTCTTGCTTGAAATATTAAGAGTCATAAAATCAAGATTTGTGAGGTTTGAGATAATATAAATTCCATAGTGTAATATATAATAATAATGTTGGAAAATAAGAAGGAACATAATAATAAAATTTAAAATTTTCAAATGCATACTTTATGTATTATTAGATTTAAAGTAAATGATAAATTAAATATATATTTTTTAATGATCTAAATAATTTGATTCTTTTGATAGAGCACTTGTATTTATAACGTATTATGAAAGTAATGATAAAAATGAAGGAATTTGAGAGAAAATAATAGAAAAATAATAGTAAAAGAATTAGAGAGAAAAACGATAGAAAATTGAGTTATTTTATTTTTTTACTTAACACACGTATTTATAAGTGAATGTTACACAAAATTTTAAATTATAAACATAATGAAAAATAAATTGATACATATATGATAATGATAAATTGGATCTCATTAGGAAATATGATGTAGAATAAATACATATGTATGAAAATGGTGAATTAAATTCTATTAAAAAATATGAATAATTATGAAAAATAAAAATAAAAATAGAGATTTATTATTTCAAAACATACTAATTATTTTATTTTTCAAAAAAAAGACTAATTTATAATTAACTACATATCGTGCAATATGCATCACTTCAAAAAAAAAAAAAAAAAAACCCCCATAAAATCTCTTCCTCTTCCCGTCTCCTTAAAAAAAAATGTCAATAATATGTATACGTACTCTCATCACCACCAACACGACCTCCACAACCACCACTTATTTTTCATTAAATTTATAATTTATAGTGTAATATATGATAATAATATTAGAAAATAAGAACGAACATGGTAATAAAATTTAAGATTTTCAAATGTATACTTACGTATTATTAGATTTAAAGTAAATAATAAATTAGATATATATTTCTTAAGGATCTAAATAATTTGATTCTTTTGATAAAGTACTTGTACTTATAATGTATTATGAAAATAATAATAACAATGAAAGAATTGAAGAGAAATACGATTAAAAAAAATAATAGTAAAAGAGTTGGAGAGAAAGACCATAGAAAATTGAGTTATTTTATTTTTTTACTTAACACACATATTTATAAATGAATGTTACACATAATTTTAAATTATAAATTTAATGAAAAATAAATAGATTCATATATGATAATGATAAATTGAATCTCATTGGGAGATATGATGTAGAATAAATACATATGTATGAGAATGGTGAATTAAATTCTATTAAAAAATATAAATAATTATGAAAAATAAAAATAATTATGAAGATTTATTATTTCAAAACATACTAATTATTTTATTTTTCAAGAGAAACTAATTTATAATTAACTACATATCAGGCAATACGCATCACTTCAAAAAAAAAAAAAACACTCCCATAAAGTCTCTTCCTCTTCCCGTCTCCTCCGAAAAAAAAAATACTGTCAGTAGTACGTATACGTACTCTCATCACCATCAACACGACCTCTACCATCACCACCACCACCACCACACCACGATTACTAAAAAAACCACCGCCCAACACGGTGCCTACTCTCTGCTCTGTTTCTACCATCTTTTTTTCTCGCGTACCGACATTTGCCCGTTGATTATTTCAAGTTCCCTTCTTTTTTCTGTTAGCAGCATTATCAGCAAGTAAAAACCTGCCTTCTCGCTTCTTATTTCTTTCTAAGCTCTCAAAGTTTTTTTTAGTTTTATCGATGATGGAGTCCTCTACGTCTCCGAAATAGTAAGCAAAAAGCATTTTTAGAGAGAGAGAAGGGAGGATTTTGATAATTCAAAATTTATTAGTTTGTTACAGTAATGCAACTAGCTAAGTCTAGGGTTTTTGACGATTTTTATTTTATTTTTTGGAATTGGGTTGCCTTGTACTTTTTTTTTTTTTTTGCATGTGTATTTGGTTTAGTAATTAATTATTTTATCAAGTGCATGGTTTCTGAGTAATTATTCGCTAAATGTGGTTATTTTATTGTATCTTAGGCTTTCTTAGTAATTATTTACCAAGTTTGGAAAATTGCGAGTTTGATGGTTAAATTTGGAATTTTGGTAGTTATTGTACTTAAAATATGATTTTTATTTGGATTTTGCAGAATTAGGTTTGTCGTGATTGTTTGAGGGTTTATCGAAATGAATATGACGTGATTGTGTAGTCGTATCTGAGCAAGTTGGATCGTTTATTCCACGCCTTTTGTTTTATTCATGTAAATGATATGCATTAAATTAGTATTTTATGATGTGATATACTATTAATTTTTTGTTGAAGTTCCATGATATACATTCACTTTTCCGGAACTTATAATGGCACTTGATTTGGGTGGAATTCTAGTTTGGTTATTCATGTCTTTACCAACGTTTGGAAACAGGTTAATCTTATAATGGAAGTTCAACATTAATTACTTTATGGTTAAGAAAAGTAACGAAAGTTTATTGGGCTTTGGTATAGCTATTCAGAATTGGGAAATTTTCAGTTTGTTTTCAAGATTTTGTGAAGAAAATGGCTTTACAGGTTGCCGGTTGTCTGTGCATCATTTGGGGAAATAGTCGATGCTGTCGTTTGTTTGTAGTTTTAACAATGGTCTTAGTTTGTGTTATTGTTTTTGGTTTAACATTCCGCAATCTTACACTTGGCATTTTGGCTGGCAGGTTTATAAATGGGAGAAGTGAATTTGGATCAAGGTTAATTTCAATCCCTTTTTGTGATAAATGCCAATTTTGTTATGTCAAAGAGTGTACCTGTGTTGGTGTTTGTTGTGTTGATATTTGAAATATATATTAGTGATGACTGGCAAGTGCCTGATAAGTGTCAGGTCAATGTAAACAATGTATTTTACACAATATAGAAGCAGCGATTTAGATTCAGAATTTCTTATTTGTGCATGTTGAAGGTTTTTTGCGTGAGGTCTGTGTTGACATGGTAATTTTGGTTTTGCAGACTTGTACATTTTGCTTACGAAAGACCAGAAACCTATATGCAGGGCACTGTGCCGAAATCCTCCTGCAGAACTGTACGCACTTATTCTATGATTATTCTATCTTTGATTTTTGTGATACTATTCTCTAGACTTGTTCTGAAGTCTAATTAACAGTGATTCATCACTATATCTTTTAATCAGTAGAATTCGAGGCTCATTGTTTACCTTCATGGTTGGTTATGGTCTGCTGTACTTCGAGTTGTTTCTGCATCTCTTTGGGTAAACGAAAATTTATTCTTAAAAATTAAAAAAATAGAACCACTAAGCTGAAGGCTTGTCCTATACAATAAGGCCAGAGAAAGTACAAGAAAAACACAGGTCATTTAGCTAGTGCACAACCATGCATGTCCAAATGAGCTAACAAAAGCCACCAACTGGATAACAAGACTAATATGAGAAACAGATTTTTCTTTTAGAATGCTCATATTGCAGGTTGTTATAGTCAATTAATTTTTTAGTTCTATGCAAGAATTCTCTTTTCAACAGAGCTGGGTTTTTTTTTTTTTTTTTTATATGATTTTTGCTATTGTACCATTAACATTTTTTATGGTAAGTGCAAATCACAGAATAATTTATACTTTGTCGACCCAACCTCTGAGCTTATACAGTTGTATTGATGAATGGAAATTTGAACCTGCTGACTGGTAGATAATTTTCAGGCCACTACGCTGGAGTTTACATGATATAGTTCCAAGAGCTAGGGTACATATCCTTGGTGATCTGCCTCATTGCTTTTTAAGTCCTGCTCCAGAGTCTCCTCGTGACAAATTTGAATGGGGCAGATTTTTTAGTTATCTTCAAAGAAAAGATTCGGTAAGAACTACTTTTTATTTTAAGGTTGAAATGTATATCATGACCTGTTAATGTCATATTTTCCGTTTCTAGCTAATATATAGCTGATAAATAAATTGACATGATTATTTTGTGTTAAATAGGTGTGCCAACCTGACATGAACCTGTTTATCAAATGGATCTTGTGGATTTCTTATGTTACCTGTTTGATAAACAAGTCATGCTCATGTCAGGTTTTGAAGTGAATATTTGATCCATTTTGTTCGAGTTGACAGTTATCAAAATGATAGTAACTCCACTGACCTAATGGCACAAATTTCCTCCCAAACTAGAAATACATAATTGCAATTCACGATGTAAATAAATTCTGTTGAAGATGCCAACACTGATCATTATTGTTTGGATGAAATTTATTTAGTCGTGATTGCTTGGCTTCTTTTTATTGTTTTTCTTTCCTCCCTCCCAATGGGTATTCTTCTCTAAATTTCATCTCTTCTCTGAGTAAAGAGCACTACACATTAACTTTTGTGTAACGAAAATTTAGAAAGTAATCTTAATCCACGCATGCTAAATGGCAAAAGCAAAGTCCATCCTGTCCTGAACAAGTTTGGGAATGAGGCTTAGTTTCTTTGTCTATTGATTTGAGTTTATCACTACTGGTTTGTTGTTATTTTGTTCCCCGAAGCATATCTTGAAAAACTGATGTCACACCTTTTGTAGGTTGGAATTGCAAAAGTCCAATCCTGTGAATTCTACATACTTCCTCCTGATAAAGGCTCCAATTTTAGCGATGTCCAAGTCGCATATCGGGTGGAGAAAACATGCAGTGGGAATGATGGTCAAGAACACTGTGAAGATAATGGCTCTCCTAGTGTCAGGTTTCAAGACACTATTGAAGATCAGCATGGTTGTGTTACTGCAATTGAAACTTGTCGGAGACGCCAGCCTCTTACTGCGAAACAGGTTCCACCATTGGATAAAAATTATGCACGGGCACATCCAAGCTACCTGGAAACTCTTGGTCAAGTGCATTATGCATGGATTTTTGGTGCAATAGCTGAGCTTGTTGACAATTCCAGGGATGCTGAAGCAACCAGGTAATTTAAATCGAGTTGATTGGTTAATTATTTTTCCCCTCTTCTTTTATATACTTAATTTTTATTTTGTACATTTGCATTTGACGTGTCGTTGTATTGTTGTATTATTGATTTTGTTAGATGTGCTTCTAACCTCTTGGCTTATTTGACAGACTGGACATTTCTATTGAGGAAATATATTCAAAAAGAGCTGGCAAAGAAATTCCTATGCTGTCAGTTATAGATGATGGCCATGGTTTGACCCATCAAGAGGTAGAGAAAATGGTTTGTTTTGGGCACAAGAAACCTGATGCTGATGATCCGAATCGCATTGGAAGATTTGGTGTTGGATTTAAGGTAGCCTTTCTTGCTTTAATTTTTGCAGTTTTAGTACTAAATCATTGCAAGTACCTGAAAATTGTATTGATCAACTACTAACACTTCTCTAATCATCTGGATGTCGGTTTCTCAGACTGGAGCAATGAGATTAGGGAGGGATGCTCTGGTTATTACTCAGACTGATGATTCCAGATCCATAGCTTTCCTTTCGCAATCTTTAAATGAGGGAAAAGATGTAGGTGGTGAACATGACCTTTTTCTGTTTTTATGTTTGTATTCTATTTTAATTAGCTTTAACATTTGTTTTGTCATCTTAATTTTTGTTTCTGCAGAATCTTGAGATACCCATTGTAAGCTACCGAAGAAAAGGACAGTTTATGGAAGTGGACACAAGTGTCCAGTCGGAAGCTTTAGCAAAGTACAATCTGAAAGCTATTAAGGAATTTTCGCCTTTTGATAAGTATTTGATTGGTGGAAAAGCAGGTTTATTCCGTAGAAACCATACAGGAACACAAATATACATATGGAACTTAGATGAGTGGGGATCACAATATTGTTTGGAATGGGATCCTGGACTGACTGGTGGGAGCTCCTTTCACAAAGGTGACATACTCATCCGTTCAAAAAGGCTCAGATCTCGTCCTGGCCAGATTAGCAGAACGGTAGTGTATTCTCTTCTCTCGATTTAGTTCCAAGTAAAGTAGAAAAATGTGGGTAGGTTGCTTCATGGTCAATGTAATCAACAAGAACATAGCATAAAAGTACTGCAAATATGATTCTGAATTTTCTCACTGCCTTTTCTCACTTGTAAAATTGTGAAATTCTGAAGAAAATAATTTCTGAGTATTTCACCATTACACAACTATATATATATATATATATATATATATATATAGAGAGAGAGAGAGAGAGAGAGAGAGAGAGAGAGAGAGAGAGAGAGAGAGAGAGAGAGAGAGTGAGAGTAGAGAGAGAGAGAGAGAGAGAGAGAGAGAGAGAGAGAGAGAGAGAGAGAGAGAGAGAGAGAGAGAGAGAGAGAGAGAGATAAAATAGGATTCCCACAGAATATGAAAGAATATACAAAATATTTCCTATCTAATTATATCCCGATATTTTCTACACTCCCCCTCAAGCTGGTGAATATAGGTCTTCCATTCCCAGCTTGCATATATTTTCTTGAAATGCATGACTGTTTAATCTTTTTGTTAGAACATCCGCCAACTGAAGATCCGTAGGAACATATGGAGTACAAATTAATCCACTGTCGAGCTTTTCCTTAATAAAATGTCTGTCCACCTCTACGTGTTTAGTTCGGTCATGTTGCACTAGATTGTGTGCTATACTGATGGCAGATTTATTATCACAGTAGAGCTTCATTGGACCACACCATTCAACCTTCATATCTTCCAAGATGGTATCCACCCACAATAGTTCACATATACCCGCTGCCATTGCTCTAAATTCAGCCTCTGCACTTGATTGTGCAACCACATCCTGTTTTTTACTCCTCCAAGATATCAAGTTTCCTCCAACAAAAGTACAGTATCCCGTAGTCGATCTTCTCGTCAACTGGAGAACCTGCAAAGTCAGCATCTGTATAAACTGCTAGATCAATATTTTGTTTTTTCTTAAACAGAATTCCTTTGCCTGGGTGAGCTTTCAAATAATGGAGAACTCAGTAAACAGCTTGTAGATGAATTTCTCTTCGATCATGCATAAACTAACTAATAACACTCACAGAATATGCTATGTCCGGTCTAGTATGAGCGAGATAGATGAGTTTTCCTACGAGACGTTGATACATTTCCTTCTCCACTTTCTTATCACCTAAAGCTTCTCCTAATCGATGATTTTGTTCGATTGGAGTTGCTGCAGGTTTGCTTGCTGTCATCCCGGTTTCCATAAGTAAATCAGTATCATATTTTTGCTGTGAGATGAATAATCCTTGCTTAGACCGAGCCACCTCTATGCCAAGAAAATATTTCAATCTCTCAAGGTCTTTAATTTCAAACTCTTGGTTCAAACACTGCTTCAATACTCCTTTCTCTGTTTCATCATTTCCGATTACAATGATATCATCAACATAGGCAATCAGAATCGAAGTAGTGTGTTTGATAAATAAAGTGTGGTCTCCTTGGCTTTGTTTGTATCCACTTGCAAGCATCACATGAGTAAACCGACTAAACCAAGCACGGGGCGATTGTTTGAGACCATACAATGCCTTCTTAAGTTTACAACTTGATTCCCATCACTACCACTGAAACCAGGCGGAATGCTCATGTAAATATCTTCCTCCAAGTTGCCATGTAAAAATGCATTCTTCACATCATATTGTTGTAACTCCCAATCAAAGTGGACCGCCAATGACAACAAAATTCGAACTGTATTCATCTTTGCTACTGGAGCAAACGTCTCTTGATAATCGACCCAATATGTTTGAGTATAACCCCTGGCAACCAGTTTGGCCTTGTATCGTTCTAAAGACCCATCCGCCTTAAGTTTCACTGCAAACACCCACTTACAGTCGACTGTTTTCTTCGCTTTAGGCAGCAGCACCAATTCCCAAGTACCATTCTTTTCTAGTGCTTCCATCTCTGCAGTCACGGCAATTCTCCATTCTTCTTTAGATAAAGCTTCAGACAAAGAGTTAGGAATGGCAATTGAATTTAATGTGGACAAATAGCTACGGTGATTTTGAGAAAAATTATTGAAAGACACAAAATTGGCCAATGGGTATAAAGGTGTTTTTGTGCAGTTACGGGTTCCTTTCCTTAAGGCTATAGGTTTGTCAAGATCAGTCTCAAGTTGTGTAGAATCAGATGTGGAAGGAGGAAAAATATTAGAAATTGTTACCTTAGGTTCAGAACTCGGTACAAGTGATTAATCTTGCTGCAGAGCAGGAATGACGTCTTTTTTCCTTGTATACACCTTATCAAACCGAAACTGATCAACCAATCTACCGCTGTCCTCTGTTTCTTCTACGGGCAAGAGAATGGTGGATTGATAAACATGATCATCAAGGGGCTGTTCATGAGGAGCTACATCTCTTGATGAAGAAATATCAAGAGACAAATTGATATCGGAATCAGCAATTGTAGGAAGCTCTCCCGGAATGTAAGATGTAGAAAAATATGATTTATTTTCAACAAAAATGACATCAGCCGAGACATAGAGCTTTCGAGTAGATGGATGATAACACTTGTATCCTTTTGGAGTGACCGAATACCCCAAAAAATGCATTTAAGGGCTCTAGGATCTAACTTTCCTTGAGTGGTATTATGGACATGAACAAAGGATGTACACCCAAAAATACGAGGGGTAAGGCTGAAGGAAGACCGAACATCGGGGAAGAACCAAGATAAAATTTTCAATGGACTTTTGAAATCTAAGACTTTAGAGGGCATCCTATTTACAACATAGGCCGAAGTTAAAACTGCCTTCCCCAAAAGGTTTTCGGAACATTCGTTAGAACAAAAACACCCTAGTACATTCAAGAAGAGGATGGTTTTTTCGTTCAGCGGCTCCGTTTTGTTGTTGAGTGATGACACAGGATGACTCGTGAATAATAACCTCTTTTTGAAAATAGGAAGACAATGTCCGATTAAAGTAGTCACGAGCATTATCCGATCGGATACATTTGATCGATACCCCAAATTGATTTTTTATCATAGAGATAAAGGTGGGAATAATATGATCGACATCGGACTTTTGTTTAAGAAGATAAACCCGGGAAGTTCTAGTGCAATCATCAATAAAAGTAATAAACCATTTTGATCAAGTAATGTTTTGGATGGACGAAGGGCCCCAAATGTCACTATGAATTGAAGAAAAAGGAAAACTTGATATTTTATTGCTCATTGGAAACGGTACACGTGTGTGTTTGGCAAACTCACAAATGTCACCGAAAAACTTTAACATCGACTCCTTTAAACAAGTTAAGGAACATTATTTTCAAGGTAAAAAACGACAAATGACCTAGACGCCTATGATGCAATCTAATGGCATCTTTATTTGACTCGTGAAAAACATGAGACTCGGAGAAGATAAATTAATCGGGCTCTGCTGACTTGGTGCACTGAAGTAGTAAAGGCCACTGTGCTCTTTAGCAAATCCAATCTTCTTCCCTGACTCCTAATCTTGAAATTCACAACAACTAACAAAAAGGTAATGACAATTCAAGTCTTGGATAAATTTATGAACAGAAATAAGATTGGTGGATAATCAAGGAACATGAAGAACATTTTTTAGCATAATGTTTTGACCAGTTTGGATAACTCTAATACCAGCTACTGTGGTTGTAGTACCATCGGTTACAGTTATTTTTTGGCTGCTGGGACAAGGTGTATAGGTTTTGAAAAAAATGGATGTGTGGGTCATATGGTCCGTAGCACTTGAGTCTAAAATCCATGCATTCCGAAATTCATTATCCAAAACATTTAATTCAAAGGAGATGGGAGTTTTACCTTAGAGCGTTAATGAACATGAACCTTGAGATTGGTTAGGAGGTGTAGCAGATTTTTCCACGGATCCTAGCAAGCTCTTGAGTTTTTCCAGATCTTACATACTGAATCCTCCCAATCCCTCCGGTGCGTTTTGTGTTGTCACATGGGCTTGTCCCTGTGATTGTCTTTGCTGCCCATCTCTTTGATCCCATTTTCGGCTGTGAGTCGACGACTTGCCATATAATTTCCAATACTGCTCCTTGGTATGTTGGGGTTTTTTACAATAAGTACACCACAGATCATCTTTCGAAGTGTTCCTTTGGGGATACGACTGTTGAACGACAGTTTTATCAAGAGAAAAACCCAATTTTAGTCTTGGAGTTTGAGCTTAGGAGTGCCGAGCTCTCAACTGCCGGTGAATCTAACATCACTCCTCTACGACTTTCTTCATTAAAGGAGGGAACATCAGTTCTTCCCAAGATTTGAATACGAACTAAGTCAAAATCAGAATTTAATCATGCTAAAAAATCATACACACGGTCACGTTCAATGAATTTTTTCACAGAGACAGCACAGTTACTACACTTCAAATCGATGGTCCTGTAGTGATCGAGCTCCTGCCATAGGTTCTGCAACAAATTGGTGTACTCGGTTACAGATTTTATCCCCTGTTTCATTGCTGCAGTTTTGGTTTTTATCTCATAAATGAGGGCTGCATCGTTAACTTTAGAATAAGTTTGATTGAGAGCATTCCAGATTGCCTTTGCAGAGGGAAGAAACATGCAAATGTCACTGATTTCTGGAGTCATTGAATTCCATAAGCATGACATAATCATCGAATCTTCCTCATCCCATGCGTCAAAGCCTACTGTCCCCCTTTCTGGTCCGGTGCCTAGCAAATGCCCCATCTTCCCTCTTCCCTTCAAGAAGGTTCGAACAAATTGAGACCATTTGAGATAGTTTTTTTCCATTCAATCAGTAAGCAGCTTGAACATTTTGAAAACCCAGATTGGTCCGGCTTGGTTTATCTCCCTCACTCGACGGAATCAGCGTCACAGATGAATTTGGAGCTTCAGTCTCTGAAGATTTTGTGCCGGCCATTGTAGGGGGGCCAAAACGTAATACAAAAAAAGAGTAGGAGGTAAGTGCAGCAATGAAGGCTGCGATTTTAACAAATGTCCCTGGAGAAACCCTTGGGCTCTGATACCATGAAGAAAATAATATTTGGGAAAATAATTTCTGATTATTTCACCATTACACAACTACAGATACATATATATACATACATATATACATATATATATACATAGAGAGTCTTAAGATAGGAAAGAATTCCTGAAGAGTAGGAAGATAAAATAGGATCCCTACAGAATGGGAAAGAATATACAAAATATTTCCTATCTAATCATATCTCGATATTTCATACAATAACTGCAGAAACTCTTTGCTTGCACTCTTTTTTCTTACCATATTTTATTTCTTTATTTGCATTATAAATCCCATGCATTTCACTTCGCATAGGGAAATATGTATGTAGATGCATGCCATCTCCTTAAGTATCTATACTCTATATTCTATCTCACTTATCTTGTGTTTTCTTTCATTCAAGGTTTTTTTAGATTACTCACTTCGGTCCTATCTTGAAGTCATCTTCTTAGTTCCGCGAATAAGGATTTATCTTCAAGGTTCATTGGTAAGTGCTTGTTCACAAGATCTCTTTGTGCTTAGGTGGTCTTGTCATTTGCTCTTTGCTTTCTCATTTCATATTGATTATGATCTTTTGGAAAGGTTAAAAGTCGACCACTGGCGAAATATTTGAATCGGACTTCTGAAGTAACTGGTAATATCATGGGGAAACGTGTTCATTTAACTCTTGGTTGCTCTCAGTTGGAATTGGAGCAGGCAAATGGTGGAATATTTTTGTATTGGCATGGTCGCTTAATCGAGGTGAATTTCTGCATCATGGTGTCATTTATCCATTCTTTACAGCTTGTGGCATTTGCTTTCTTGTGTGTTTCTCCTCCTTTCACCTATTCTCTTTATTGACATTAGAGCCATTGAGCTTTGGATTGCATCTTATGATGCTCGTTGCAATGTAAATTACCTTTATGTTCCTCGGAATCTTCTTCCTGGGACATTTTTTATGGTTGATCATTTTGCTAGGACTTCCATTATTTCAATAGTTTAGTTTCAAGTTTTTTGTATTAAATCCTGTTCCTGCTTACTATTGAAGATGCAAGTATTCAGCTCCACTTTTGGCCATATTTTTTAAATCTTAGAACCAATCACAGTGCTGCATAAAGGAAAACTCTCCAAGAAGTTATGTTGAACACAGATTGCTCTCTCTCTCTCTCTCTCTCTCACTCAGTCCCACTCTCTTTATGGAGAATTTAATTCAGCAGAGTTAATAGATTTCTCAAGGCGTCAAACTTGCATCAAGATGGTCGGTTAGGTTGAATTCAGATTCTAATTGGAAGGGAGATGCTAATCGTGAATCCTCTTGCTCTTGGTTTGCTAATAGATTATTATATACGATTATAGTTGCCTTTCCTTTTCTTATTGGGGCAGGAGTTTTTTCCCCTCATAATCTCAAATCAGTTCCAGGGCATTCCATTTTCTAATGTGCCTTAAGGTTTCATTGTTTCAATCTGACATTTTTATCTTCCCATTGTAGGCTTATAAGAGAGTTGGTGGCATGATTCATAACGGAGATTGGGGTCGAGGCGTGATAGGTGTCATTGATGTTTCTGATTTAATGGTAGGCAATGTTTCTTCATAGGTGTTTTGTACGTTTTTCTACGTTCTATTTCACATCGCACATTTGGAACAGGATAGAGATGCCTGCAAGAAGATTTGCTTTGTTAGCCTGCTTTTTGTTTCATTTGGTTCAAAGAATATGCGCGGACATATATTTCTTGCAAAACTATTACGTTTGGTACCCTAAGATGAGCCTGGTCACCTTCTCTCTTTTCTAGCTGTTGAAAATTCTAAGATAAATACTTGAAGTTTACAAATAAAATTTAATTGTTTGTGGAGTGTTATGTTTCATGGATACAACCAGAGCACAAGTTTAGTTTATGGTCCTGTTTTATGCATAGAAAGTAAATAATATAGATATGATGCTTACATGAAAATCAGTATATCTGTTTATACAAGATTTTGAATGCCCTTGCCTCCAACTTGTATTCATTTTATAGGATGCATGAGAAGATAATGGTGCTGATATTGTTATAGCATCAAATGCAGCTTTTAGTTTTCTGCAGCCATGATGGGGGACTCGTGTGTTCAGTTTCTGAAATTTTTGGATATTGAAACATAACTCTATTTATTAACGAAAAGCTGGTTGTTAAAACTGAGGATGTCTGTCTGTCATGAATCTGTTTACTTCAACTGATAAATCTATTTCTGCATATGGATCAGAATGTAGGAAATGGTCGTGTGGGGGTGCATAATACCAAGCAATCTTTCCTCGATTGTGAACCATATGCTCTGCTAGAGGTGTGGCTGGGACGAAAGTTAGATGAATATTGGACTGATAATTTTGAAAAGCTGGAGTTGGTAAGGTCCTTTATTGATTGTGGGGAATATTTTTTGATTATGAGTTGGTTTTCTGCCTCTGTTTTTCAGTGTATTTGTTTGATTGGAATTTTTTTGCATCAAAACGCAACCTTCATCATACTGATGGATGTTCTTAAAAGATTTTATACATATAGTGGCGTGTGGAGAACAACTTCATTTTGTCAAATATAACAATGACTGAAACCAACATAATCTGACAAAGATGGACCAGCCAGTTACCGGGAAAATAGTTTTCAAATCTCTTTGATATATCTGATCGAATGGTGGGTTAATGATGCTATTTATCAGGTTTACTGTGTTACTATCCAACTAATCAACTGATCCTAATTTTTTAATTTAAATTTTATTCGCCACTTGAGTGACTTTTGGATGGTGATATGTAGTGGGATTGTTCTGTTTTAGACATGCAGCTTGTCCCACAATCTGAAACATACATTCTTCTATCAGCAATTTGAGAAAATGTTGTTAATTTCTTCCATACACTTTTGTCGTCCAAATTTCACCAGTAATGAGCAGCATATAGAGGTCATCTTATTAGGAAGATGAACTATCTGTTTATTGGCAATGACTGGTTACCATCTAGTTTTAAAATGAAACAATCTTAGATTTGGGATTAATTCAAATATTTAATAGTGCAGCAAGAAGGTTCCTTTTCTCATCAGTTTCCCCATTTCATTCATGGTGTCTTCTTAATGAATTTATATGAATTTCCCTTTTTTTTTTTTTTCCTTTCCAGTTTGCCTAGACATCTTTCATTTATGCAATTCTTTATCTCTCCAGAAAAAAGGTGGTTCCCAGTACAAACCTGACCATGAATGGGTACAGTGTGACAAGTGCAGGAAGTGGAGGATGTTGAGTTCAGGGTTTGACATTAAAACATTACCTGAAGAATGGTACCATATTTCATCATATGATTTATTGTTCATTTGTTCATAAATTGTTCCTTGTTATCCTTGATGCTCTTTCTTGTGCTTTTCATGCCTAGTATGATTTATTATTATCCAACACACTCTTTTGGAGAAATACCTGTGTCAAAAAGGCACAGGCTATTCAATGTGGTGAATGGGGATCACTTCTTTCAGCCAGATCAATTTGTAGGGACTTTGTGGTGGTATAATGGACTTTAGTCCCCAGGAGAGCTGGATTAATTGTTTTTGGCAGGAATGGTTCAAACCTTCATTGCTCGTTGATAGAGTATACTTTGCGACCTGGCAGGACAAGGAGATCGATCCATCAAATTTGAATCTTGAGAGTGGACAGTTGACTGCCATCTTTTCCTGGATGCTTGTGATCATACTCCTGGAGTATTCTCCCCTGTAAAGGAAAAAGTCTGTTTTCATCGGCCAATATGCATCTCACCAAAATAGATCTTTGCTTAACATGCCAGTGTTGTATTTTTGAATTGGATAACACTGCCTTCGCATGCATTCAGCTCCTCCCGTGTCCTTACTGGTTGTCATTTTTCATTGACAATTTTTTCTTTTCCTGCTGTATATTATTATATTCTGTTTGTATTATCCTTTGGCTCTTCCCTGCTCAGGAAACAATGATAGTTATCTTTCTAATTTACCTATAAAATGTACTTTGGATGATAAGAAATTCTGACTTATGCTATCAAATAAAATTAGCAAACAGGTGATAATATGAGAAGGATTGCTCTGCATTCATATGCATTTTGGTGTCAATGGACTGTATACTTTTATTTGTTAAACAGGAGATGACACTGAATCTTGGTTTGACTGTAAGTTCTAATTTATCAGGTTTTGTTATATGGATCCTTTCCATGGATCATGTGAAATTCCAGAGCAAAAGCCTGATTGTGGGGTGATCACAGTGTCTGCAAAACGAACTAGACAGGATATAAAAGATCTTGAAAATGATGCCGTGGTCGCTGCAGATGGTAGGCGATCAAACTTCTTTTATTAGTTAATTTTGTCCTGAACCAAAGAAATAAATTTTTCTGGGGTAATTGAGTTTCAGTTTGTTCTGGTTGCAATATCTTCTGGAATGGCCTGCAATTTTTTTTTCCCCAGCAATCACGTTGCTTTTCTTTGTTTCATCTTTTCTTCAATGCCTTATTTTGAATGCATCAATTCATGAAAATATGGATATACTATGCTGTATATTATATTTCGATTGCAGCCTGTTTACATTCAATATTTAGCGGTGTATTTTCTTTAGTCCCATTCACAACACGGAATGACATGCTATTTATGACCTTCACTCTGATCTATTTGTGCTTCCTTGGTTTATAATAGGCAACAGTGAAGATTCTAGTCTAACCGAGAAAAATGACAAGCGAGGTGGTTTCAAGAGAACGAGGAAGGGACTACCTAGGACTTGTAAGAAGGGGACGTGATAACTAATGGTAAAACAGTGGTTTTATACAATGTTGCTACAGCTAATTTTAGTTCTGATAACTTTGTTTTGGATGGTGCATCAGTCCAATTGCATTAAAGCAAAATATCAGATTAGGTCAACCATCTCTCCACTTCCACAAATCATAGTTTCATACTCCTAACATGAGTAGTTTGCTGGTTTTATAAAGATCAATTTTTGAACTGTGTAAGTAGGTTTGTATATAAATCTACGGATTATAATCCCTTTTGTGTTTAAATTTTTACTTCTGTCAAGGTTTTCATGTGGCCTTTTGTTTTCAATGCATCTGCCGTCTTCAATCCAAGATCTGTAATTTTCACTGTATTCTGGGATTTACTGCTCTTTGCTGAGATGGGGACAGAGCAGCAGCAACAAATTAGTCCTACTTAGTTCATCTTGAAGATTCTATAGCAGGATATTTACTCGTAATTCAGCAAAATTCGACATAGCTTTACTCTCTGATTAAATAATGACGGAGTCGAAATATTAGAGTAAATTATAAATTAGTCCCTTTCGATTAGAGAAATGGATTATTTAGTCTTTTTTTTAATTAAAAACTAATAATTTAATTTCTCATCTCTGTCAATAACCTGATCCTTTTATTAGTTTAGATAAAATTAGTAATTTTTGTTTTCGAATTAACTTTTGATTTTTAGTTGAGGAGAGAAAAAAGAAGCAAAATATCCACACAAGAAAAAAAAAAAAAAAAAAAACTCAATCAATCGAGAAAAAGACTAATTTATAATTTACTTGGAAATATTATGAACAACAACATTTTAAAAATAGCTACTTTCATACTGCCAATCCAAAAAAAAAAAAAAAAGTTGGGAACTTTAGAAAAAGGTTCTGTATCATTAGTCTCCAAGAAAAAGAGAATGGGAACAGGGTTAAAGTAACAGCAAGCTTATCATGAAAAGCAAACTGTGTCGCAAGACCTGTTCTATATAATTTGCTTTCTGCCATCATAACGAAACACCTAGCCATTTAAATGAAATCTAGGCATTAGATACCTCAGGCATTTATAAATCAAATCGCAAAATTTATTTTGTCATGCAATCTCAGGCGAAAGATGGTGATTGTTAAATATGTTCATCACTGAAAATCAGTAGTTAAGGAATTACATCACGGATTGCAAAATTAAGAAACCATTTAAATAAAAATAATAGCAAATCCAAAAAAAAAACATTTTCAAGAAGAGATTTAGGGGTGCAAGAGAAATCAGATGGTAGTGCATGTTTTTTAGATCATCATGGTAATTTGATGACAGAATTTATTATGATAAACATCATCATATTTTCTTGCATACTTAAAAACAGTACTTAAATCAAGGGCCATAAAGGCAAAAAAAAAAAAATTATGTGAAGAAGAGAATCAGATATATGATTAGTCAAACACCATCAAGCATCAAAGAGAAGATGCTTGTAAGACTGGGGCGACAACGAATATCATCATTTTTTTCCCTATTAAAAACCCTTTACAGAATTCTAAATAAAAGAAGAAGAAGAAGCATAAATGGGAGAGAAAGACACGGTTGATTTAGCAAACACAGAGAGATGAGCAACGCTGAAGTTTGTGTGGCAGAAGAAGAAACGAGGGTGTATTTAAAGAGGGATTTTAGGGTTTTAGGTTTTGGAGGTTTCGTGGGTTTGTCAGGCCCATGTTTAGAATCTATCTTGGGCCAATGGGTTATAGGTCTATTGGGATAGCAGCAGGATCACTATGGGCTATGGCAGTATAACTAACCTTCAAAGCACACTCCTCTTATTATTTATTTATTTATTTATATATATACCCGCCGTTTCCTGCAAAACGTGTTCTTCTGTCAATAAATAAAGAAATACAATGCCAACATTATAATCATTTTGAAAAATAAATAAATTTTAAAGATGACCTTTCTTTTAATTTATTTTTCTTTATAATCGTTATGTGACTCTGTACATAAAATGTGTTCTTTTTCAATAAATTAAGAAATAAAATGCTAACATTAATTATAATTATTTTTGAAAAATAAATACTCAGAAAAGTTGATTACATGTGGGGTTACCAATATACGAAATGAAGATAACACCAATTAATTTCATTCTAAATTCATGATATATATATATATATATATATATATATATATATATATATATATATATATATAGAGAGAGAGAGAGAGAGAGAGAGAGAGAGAGAGAGAGAGACTTTTTTCGCTTTATACTACAAGCTCGTAACCCATTAAATATAGTCATAATATATATATATAAAACATTGAATCAATATTTTAATTCAAAATTAACTATTCACCCAAACATATGAAACCAATTATTTACTATTAATATTTTTTAATATTATATAAAAAAATTATTTAAAATAAAATAATCGAAATAAATTTTTAAAAGAACTACCAATGATTCAAATATAATTTTTTATACTAACATTATTGATTATTTTTTAATAAATAAATAAAAATCAAATGTACATAGTTTTTTTTTAAAAATTTCTCATTGATATTAAATAAGAATAAAAAAATATTTTTTCATGAGTTAATTTTTATACATATTTATAAATTAATTGTTGCTTTATTTTTTTGATACATTCTTATGAAAAATATATTTTTAAAGATTTTTTACATTTTAGATTAAATTTTCAATCTAGATCATTATAGTTTTTTAATTTAAAAATCAATACGTAAAGAAGAAGGAATCATTTTTTTAAGTAGAAAAATTATAAAAAAACTATCCGGATCGTAAAAGCCGGAGTAACGAGGGACTTGTCTAGATTTTTTTGGACAACTCATAGACTTCTCCATTGCTCTATAAAATACAAGATTTTGATTAAAAATATATAAAATTTAGTGTTTTTTTTTTAACTTTTGATTCCATATATTTTAGTAAACTTGCAATATAATGTAAATTATTCAATTGGAATAATTTTATTATATCCAACCCACAACAGAATGTGAGGAACTAACTAGCTATGTATTACAAAGAGATGGCAGGCAACTATGCAAAATCTAAGTACTGCAAATGACAGGAAATCTTCGGTTTTACGACAAAAATTGCCCTTGTTCTGTTGCAATTTGGTAATTTCAGACTTTTATTATCAATTTTCATAATTTGAACTCTAAAATATCAGTTTTTTTAAAAAATTATCCAAAACCTCATTTTCTCGTTATTTGTAATGATCAACTAAGTTAAGTAGAATGCTTAAACGATATCGTTTAAGCATTACGTCGTTAATTTTTTTAAAAAAAACTTGTTCTTATTTTTTTTAATGTAATTATAACTTAATTATTTCTATTTAAAATTTTCACATATTAATCCCTTTGATTTTTCATAGTTAATCAAATTGTTATTTGTATATAATATTTTTCAATTTTAAAAACAATTTTTATGCAATATCATTATCTATTAAAACAATCAACTTCTATAATTAATAAAATAAAAATATATATATTGGTTGAATTTGATCAATTGAAAATATTAAATAGTTATTTTTAATAGAAAAATTTCCTTTGTTATGCTGATAAATTTATTCTTATAATTGTCAATTATTAAATTTTAAATATAGCTGTATTTATTTAATATTGTTTTTTATCTTTGTAGGATTTTCTATTCTCACAATTGATTCAAGTATATAACATGCATTTAAAATTGTTTAGAAAACATTTTTTTAAAACTTTTCTAATTTTATTTTATTTTATTTTTTAAAAGATAAGTTCAAAACGTGAAAATCCTTTTTCATGGAAAATCAAAATAAATCTTAGTGATAAATTTAATTTTTTATTATTTATAGGTAAACAAGTGAAAAAATATATCTTAAAAAAGGGGAAAGCATTAGTAAAAAAAAATCCAAGTGGTTTAAAGAATCTTTATCTAAGTAATTTTTAACACTTTTTTTTTAAATTAACAGTAAAAAATAAAATTAACAGCTAAATATTTAAACGACGTCTTTTAAACATTTTACTTAACGGTCAATTAGGTATATTATTTTAAAAAAAATTGACTAATATTTATCTAAAAATTAATATTTCGAAGTTCAAATTACGTAAATTAATAATAAATATTTAAAATTGTCAAATTCTAATAAAGAATAGGAAGTTTCGTCGTTAAATCGGAAATCTTTTAGGACAACTTATAATATATACTACATGTGAGATGTGTGGTACCGCAAGTTGTGTATGAGCTGCATGCCTTGTGTACTGCAGACACAATTTTTCGATGTTTAACCCCCAAATCAACCTATCCCGTGCCTGGATTTAACTTTTAAAACATCCCTCTCTTTAAAATATTGTATAGATAAATTCATTTTATTTATTGATTGCAGCAAATGTATACTTGTAGAAAGACTAAAATGAAAAGAAGTAATGACATGTCGGTGGTTTTTTTAGCAAGGGTAACTGCAAAGACAAGTGTCGTTTGGCCATTCACGAGCACCTTCTCCTGGTCTTTTTTGCTCACAAACTGCAATGCATTGTAGGGCATTGCACCCACGCCCCAATAGCACGGATTCAACAATATTTTTTTAAAAAAAGTTATTATTATTTTTTTATTTTTAAAAATAAATCTTCCTCCAAAAAAAGGGAAATATTTACCTGGAAGAATGAAGATAAGAAGCAAAATAAAGGTGAAAATGGAAAGACTTTTCACGGCTTCTGTCAAAAATGTTTATGTGATGATGCCCCTTACAAGTTTGACTTGATGTTCATGAGGAGATAATAGTGTACTTATATGTAGAATTAGAGAGGAACATTAATTGGTTTTTATAAATCAAGAGATCAAAAACCCTATTATGGAATTTACTAGCATTTCATTTGAATTTCCTTAAGTCAGGGCTGAGTTTTATTGATATTGATTGATGAACATTTACTATCTACTAACTTTTCTCTTTGATCTTTTCCAAGCTATTTATATTTTATCTTAGTTTTTTATAGACAAAATTCTAATCTTTTTGAAATTTTCCTACCAAATTCACTTGAAAAAATAATTATTAGATTCATGAAATATCGAAGCAGTATTCACTTATTCAATACATGAGATTTTTATTCGGTGTTTAAAATTTTTCAAAAGAAGAATTTAGTAAAAATGTTATTAGATTTACGAGATTTCAATGCATTTCTTCGGCATCAATGGATCATGGGCTTATAGAAGTGAAAATAAAAGGAAAAGCGAGGAGCTATTGGGCTTTTAACAATTCCCATGAGAAGTAGACAAGGCAATAATCATTGCAGGCAACTTGGATTCGTTTTCTTATTCTAGCATAGCAGCATTACAACCCTTTACAGATTTGTGGCAGAAAAATGGAAATTCAGATGAGAAATGGATTCTAAATCCACATAGTAGGCCAATGCATGTTATTATATTGCCATTCAAATACCAAAACAAGGTTCTCAACAATCAACTGGGAAGCAAGTTCAGCACAGATTTCTTTGTTCTTTTGCATAAACAGTAGGACATTTCTGTCAAATATTTCCCTAATAATTTTGCATCTAATAATCTCATTCCCGAGTATGTTAGCTGCAGCCTTTGAAACTTCCCTTACACCTGCAAGGTTGTTTCCAGTTCCTAGATAGAATGCTGACAAATTTTGATACACATCAAGTGGAAGCTGATTGATTTCGCTCCACGACAACAGCAAGCATAATAGCTTTCCTTGAGAATTTCTTCTTCTTCTTCTTTCTTAAATGCTAAGGAGCCACACAGAAAAGGATAGGTAAATTAAAGCCCCAAACAGGTTTTTTTGGTCCTGCATTACAAACAAAAAAGAATAATAATAACAAAAAATTCAAGTCTTTTCAAAAGCTTTTTAAAAACAAGAAAATAGGCAGTTCATTATCAAAAAAAAAAAAAAGAAAAAAAAAGAAGCAATTGGAGGCAGTTCATGGATCGAAGATCTGGGTGCGGAGAGTCTGCTCACCAAGAGAAATGCAGGCAATCTACTTCTCTTGAATTGCATGTCACTTTGAGAGTGTGGAGGGCGATTCCTGCGAAATCCTCAGCAGAGAGGAATTTCAAATTAGAGTCTCCATTGCCTGGTGAATGGCAACGAAAAATTGCAACAATGATAATAATTGCCATCGTGAAATTGAAGTTTATGCTTCATTTAAAAGAGTTTCAAACTCCATCATTACTCTCTGCAGGTATAGATGCTTCATTTCTGTCTGGTGTTACTCTTTGTCCATGGAGGGAGGTAAGAAAGATGGGAGTGCCATTGCCTGCAAATGGATATTTTGCAGCACTGAGAATCAAAGGGAAGGAATATCTAATTAGATCCCGTAAAATGCTTTTGTACCATGGAAATTTCCTCATTGCACATTGTTCGAAGAATTGTACCAGCATTGGCATCCTTTCGACTTTGTGTAGAATCGATACTTCTTCCTAATTCTAATTTCTAAGTGTCTTAAACTGTGAAATATCCAACCACACCCAACTGCTTCCATTTTACTGACTTCCTTCTATAGATGAAGAGAAACAAAAGAAAGAGGATAGAAAGGTATTGAAAGAAAAGGTTAAGAAAACTGGGTCATGCAAGCTAAAGACTTATCAAAACCAATAATAAAGGAGGATTGCACCACTCTTGGATGAAGCACTTCACTGCCAATAATCACCATCATCATCTTAGTCACATTTTTTTATCACCATTCAGAAAGCAATTGGGAGCTCTTATATGAAACTCGTCCCTATTGAGGATTTTGCAGAAGTAGCTCTCCTCACTCTCAATACCACCGATACCCAACTCAAAGTCAAGTACCTTTTATGACAATACTGATGGTCTACCATATAATATACATAAGTAGGAAAAGAACAACTTCTCTAGAGTGCTTCTCTCTCAAGCATAATCCTCCAAAGGCTGGCAAAGAACATAATCAGTCCTTTTATGTGTCAAAAAGAGGGGGACAGGCGTTCTAAGCAAACAGCACACATGTTTTTCGTTCCTTTTTCCCTCCATTTCTCTTCTACCTATCCATTGCTTCTTAAAAAAAAAAAAAAAAAACCCTCTAGCATTTTCTATAACTCTGAAAATTCTCCAATCATATGATTTAAAAGAGTAAAGCAATACCCTTTTCTGTAACTCTGAAAATTCTCCAATCATATGATATAAAAGAATAAAGCAATCATTATCCTGTATGTGTCTAATCTTTTTATTGCAATCATGATAGAGATCTAATTACGCACTTCACTTTGATCAGCATATTAAGCGATGTAGGAAGCTCAATAAATTGTGTGGTAAAGAAAGCTATGAAGAAAAGACAAGCGTCTATTTTAGGGATGCTAACATTATCGAAGAGAGTTAAGTTAGTATCTGTAACTCATGGAGACAATGCCCATCTAAACATATAAAACCCATGCATCTGCATTTGGCAAACTTTATTTTAGCAGCAATAATTCTGTGAGATATATTGGCATAATCCTATAATCACTGCTCCTTACAACAGAAAATTATGCAAAAACCATGCAACAGGAGACCATAAATAAATGGATAAACATATGTAAGGTACCTGCAGTTCAAAACTAGTATTAGTGTTGTGATGAACCGTCCACAGTTGTCTTCCCTGCAAATTATATCCAATTTTATCAGTTCAAAACACATGATGCAACAACAAGAAAACTACATAAACAAAATCACAAAGTATCTTAATAGAAGCATTGAAGTCCAACGATAGAGTTTGCAGCTTAACAAACTCAAAGGAATGATACAAAAATTAGATAATGCAACATAAGAAGAAATATACATACTTTGAGGGATGCCAACAGATAGCAGTAGGTCTATATTATCAACACGGCGCTGTATTGATTTTAGAACAGAATTCAATGATGAAACTCTCTTTCGAACACCTGAAATCTTCGCTGCATGCTGGATGATAAATGGCAAGGGTGCATCTTCCAACAACTGATCAAGCTCTGAAAACCCACAAAATAAATTTTATCGGCAAGCAGAATTCAAAGTTACAATACAAAAGCGAAGCCACAAAATGTCACCTTACTAAAACACAACTATGTGCTTGATAACATAGATTAATCAAAAAACTTGAGGATCAATGCAGAAAAAGAACAAAGACCAAAACAAATTGCGAACACAACACAAAACCTCATGCATCTTCAACTGCTTAATACTGAAGCTCAATGAGCTGCACTATTCTTTTGACATACTTACAGACGCTTCAAGTGTATATTTGTTTCCTTAAATATAAGGTATTCCAAAATAAAACTAGGTATGTGGCCATGAAAAATGACTCATACTATATCCATCAAATTATCATGCATAAAAAAAAAAAAAAAAAAGAAGAAGAAGAAGGAAAAAAAGAAAAAAAGAAAGAGAGAGAGAGAGACTCTAATAACTCTCCCACGTGTTGCTATACCCATCAAATCGCAGTCATGCGTATAATAATGTGTAGTAAAGCTCACGAATTTGTCAAAAGATCACTAATCACATTACGGAGACGGACTAAACTGATCATCTACGATACTAGGTCCATTTCTAAATTGATCATATCCTTTTCTCTAATTTAGAAACTAAATCACTTAGGAAACAAAAACCCATCAAGAGGGAATCTGGAAAACAACCTAAAAATTCTAAAAACAAAATTTTATAGCAAAACCTAGTCTTGCAAACATTCCAAGTAGACAACAGCCAAGGTGAAGAAGCTGCCTATCTAAAGCAGCTTTTGTAAAAACATCAAACCATAGAATGATATGACCATAATGAAATTTACGAAAACAAAAAGAAAGAAAAACTTACCTCCAGTAAGACGATCAACGGCAGAATTAAGTTGGTCTTGGCTATTGAGTGTGTCTTGAGCTTTAGAATCGAAATCCTTAATCACAGAGGCTAGCATCGTAGATAAAGCCTTGCCTAATACATCACTGCTGTTGCTATTGGTTTCGGATTCTGATTCTTGAGGGTTCTTTTCGTTGGAATCGGGATTTTCATCTGCAGAAACTAATGCGTCCATCTTACCGAGAACGCCTTTTCTCTGTTTCAGTGGGATTCAATTCCTTTCAGTGGAAATGAGACACAAGAGGGAATTGGTTTTCTAAATGGGCTTATTTTGTATTTGGTCTGATCCATTATGGGCCAGTCTAGGGTTGGAAATGGGCTGAGTGAGTATAAATATTCCCAGCAACGATACATAAAAAAAGTTAGACGTTGGTAAGGGATTTATTACTGAAAAGTTTTCACATAATTACACTTTAGTTTCTTTTTTTAAAACATTATTTTTTGAATTTGTAAATTTTTTATTTTACTGTAGTCTTTTTTTTGTTTTATTTTAATCATTTTGATCCTTTTTCTGATTTTTTTAAATAAAAAATTTTAAGGCAAAAAAGATGTTTAGAAAAGAACAATGTACAAAATAAGTTTTTAACTAAGAATTCATTAATTTTTTATATGTATTTATATTATTATAATTTTTTTTAGTTAAGAATGTGTATAGAGATAAAAAAAATAATATTTTTTAATCTAAAATTTATGAAAAATATAAAAAATAATCAATCAAATATAAAATTTTGATTAAAAAATTATAAAATTGAATGAATTTGTATTCAATTTTAATTTGATATATTTTGGTAGATGTATAATATAACACGAGACATCAAACTAAAATAATTTTATGTATTCTTCATATTAAAAAAAAAAAAAAAATCTAGTTTGAACTACAAAGTATGTAGTGTGGGCTTTGCTTTGGACACTTTCATTTTCTTCTTATAATTAGGAGCATCCGTAAATGGATAAATTCTTTCACTATCCATCTAATTTTAGAAATGATCATATTTGCCTCTTTATTCCAATTTTGATCACACAAAACTTTGTGGTTTCAGTTATTCATCACGAAATATAGAGAAAAAGAAAAAGAAAAAGAAAACAACATTGATTTATAAGGAATACACCTCAAAAGAAAAAAAAAAAAAAGAGGGTAACTTGGCTGAAGCTCTTTCAATTAAATGGATCGCCATATTTGGTTGAATTATTTATGCTCATTGGCATTGTATCTTTTGGTGCTAAATGAAATACATCTTGATTGTGAATATTAATTAGATTTTGACTTACATAATAATTAACAAAATCCTACAAAAAATATATATATATATATATATATAAACGAACACACACGAAAAGTATGGTCATGCTACTTATTAATACGAAAGTCATTGTTTTTTGAAAATCTAACAAAATTATTTCACCTAAACAAAACGAAAACTGAGTATTAAATGATTGTACGAAACTACTGTAACTTTCTCAACATTGCTTCTCTTTATACAAATGTTAAAGAGTAGTTGTGAATTCAGCGGAGGCTTTGAAGGTATATTTATAGGACTATCCCACATTACGAAATGGACTCAATGGGCCTATGGTTACGATATATAATGACACCAGGACCACCTCTGCTCTGTTTTAGTGGGATTCAATTCCTTTGAAAATTAAAGGTTGAGGATTTTTTTATTATTATTTTATTTATCTTAATTATTTTTTTAATTAAAAATTTCAATAATTATGTCTTTCTACTTTTAAATCACATTTGAATTTTGTCCCTCCGTCCAATTTTAAAATAACGGTGATAATTTTCAGCTTAAAACTGATAGAATATTGACACGTGACATTAATTTTTTCTTAAAAAATTATGAAAAAATAAAAAATCCAAAAAAAATCTGAAAATATTAAAAAAAATCCCAAAAATTCTCATTTTTTCTATACCTTTATGTATAGAAATAAATAATTAATTTCAACCTTCAATTTTTTTCTTTGAAATTCAAACCAAAAAAGAAATTTTTTTATGAATAGGAAGGAACAAAAGCAATTTTTTTTTTATTTCAAAAATTTATTATAATTTTTTTTTCCAATCCAAACCTAAAAAAATATTCTGAATTTTATACTATGATTTGAAATAAATTTTAATGATAAATTTCTAAAAAAAGGGTTTGGATTTGAAATAAATTTTCATAATAAATTTATGAGATAAATAATAAAAAATTTAGGGTTTGGATTTGAAAGAAATTTTCATAATAAATTTCTGAAATAAAAAAAAACTTTGCTTCTATTCCTTCCTATATATAAAAAATTTTCCTTTTTGGTTTGAATTTGAGAGAAAACGAAAACAAATTGAGGGGTGAAATTAATTATTTATTTCTATACATAAAGGTGGAGAAAAAGAGGAGAAGTTTGGCATTTTTAAAACTTTTTTTCAGATTTTTTTGGGATTTTTTTCTTTCGAAAAATTTAATGGCACGTGTCAATATATTATTAGTCTTAAGTTAAAAATTTAGACTAAGGGATAAAATTCAGACGCGAATTAAAAGTGGAGGGATAAGATTATTAAAAAATTTGATAAAGAAACAAGATTAAGATAAATAAAATTATAAAGGAGCATGTTAGACCTTTATCCTTTTTTTTTTTTTTTTTTTACGAGAGAGGAGGTAAGATATAAAGATTCCTAGCAAGGATTAAAATAAATCAGATTTTTTTTCCGAATTCTGGGTCATAAATGGTTATGGTAATTGTTGTAACGATTTTGATGAGTTGATTTATTTGTGTTTTTCTTAGGGATTTTTATTTATTTTTTTTGATAGATTTTGATAGGCATTAACTTATCTAAAACTAAAAGAGTGCAATTTGCAAATAAAAAGTTTATTGGCAATATTACAGGTAAATTATAAATTATTCATTTTAGTTTTGAGAAATGAATCAATTAGTCTTTTTTGTTTCAAAAATTAATTATTTAATTTTTTTAATTATTTTTTTAAGATGGAAAAAGAAAAAGAAACAGATATTATGAAAAGATTAATAAAATAATATATTTTTAATACCATAAAATAATATTAAATTAAGTATAATGGTTAAAAAATTAAAAAAATTAGTTTTTAAAATAAAAATATTAATTAATTTATTTTTCAAAACTAGAGACTAATTTATAATTTTCTCGGATAGGGATAGCTACACCAATATAATATACTCAGCAAAGAAAAAAATCAACCCCACCCCATGGGTTGCTTGATGCTCTGATTAAATAACGGTGAATTGAATTAACAAAATCATAATTGAATTGATCAAATTATCAATCCATATATATCGCAATAAATAAATAAATAATCCTGCATGGACTAAAATACCCCGAAAGCGTGACTTAAGAAGTCCTCGAAGCCCTGTGGCTGTAAAAGCTAAAGAGACCCGGTTTTTCTTTCTCAAAAACCCACTCTCTAGACATCTCTTACAATAGTCGGCTATCAGAGAAAGAGTCTCACAAGGAAACAGATACCCTGATACGAGAAGAGGGCTAAGGTATTTCTCTCATCTGTTACTTTTAATGGTTTTAATCTTTGTGTGATCCTCTCTAATGGGCTTTTTGTTTAGATTATCATTTCTGGTAAATATTGTGGATATCGATCGTGTTCTATTCCAAAATAAAACTAGCTAGGTTTGTGGCCATGAAAAATGGCTCATGCTATATCCGTCAATTATCATGCATAAAAAAAGAAACTGAGAAACTGCTACCATCTAATCGCAGTCATGCGTGTAATCCATGTGTACTAAAGCTCATGACTTTGTCAAAAGATTACTAATCACATTAAGGAGACAGACTAAACTGACGATCTACGATACTGGGTCCATTTCTAAAATGATCATATCCATTTCTCTAATTTAGAAACTAAATCACTTAGGCAACAAAAACCCATCAAAAAGGAATCTGGAAAACAACCTAAAAAAATTCTAAAAACAAAATTTTATAGCAGAACCTAGTCTTGCAAACATTCGCAGTAGACAACAGCCAAGGTGAAGAAGCTGGCTTTCTAGAGCAGCTTTTGTAAAAACGTCAAAACCATAGAATGATGTGACCATAATGAGATTTACGAAAACAAAAGGAAAGAAAAACTTACCTCCAGTAAGACGATCAACAGCAGAATTAAGTTGGTCTTGGCTATTGAGAGTGTGTTGAGCTTTAGAATCGAAATCCTTAATCACAGAGGCTAGCATCGTAGATAAAGCCTTGCCTAATACATCACTGCTGTTGTTATTGGATTCAGATTCTGATTCTTGAGGATTCTTCTCGTTGGAATCCGAATTTTCATCTGCAGAAATTGATGGGTCCATCTTGATGACACCAAGAATGCCTTTTCTCTGTTTTAGTGGGATTCCATTCCTTTCCCAGTGGCAACGAGATATAAGAGAGAATTGGATTTCTAAATGGGCTTCTTTTGTATTTGGTCTGATCCATTATGGGCTAGTCTAGGGTTGGAAATGGGCTGAATAAGTATGAAATTCCCAGCAAGTATACATTAAAAAAACTATCGATTTTATTTTTTCAATTTATAACTTCTTTTTTTTCCTTAAAAGAAAAAACCCTAGACAGAGATGGAAAACCAAAGCTAAAAAATCAAGTCGTCCTTCTCTTGATAAAACTGGATAGGCTCCTGTCAACTTCCTGCTTTTTTTTCCTTTTCCTTCTCTCCCTCTCCAATCCTTAGGAGCCTTCCCTCTCCATTTAGTAGTAAATTATAAATTAGTTACCCCTGAGAGCTAAGGTATTCTTCTCTATAGTTTCTTTTAATGGTCTTAATCTTTGTATGATTCTCTGTAATGCATGGCTTTTGTCTAGATTATCTATTCTGATAAATACCATGAATATCAATCATGGTTGCTTAGATCTCTGCTTCAAGTTCCTTTTAATGCCCCTCAGGCATTCATGAATCCACCTCTTGTTTTTCCTTTTATGTATTGGTCTTTTTTATGATATTTCTGTCACTGTTGGGCTTCAGTGGGTCGTTTAGGCCCACCGAAAGTGACCCAACTTAATGTAAATCACTGTCTAGTGGGCTTTTTATTTTTGCTTGCTCTGCTGCAAATAGTAGAATATAAGAGATAAGGGAACACATATATTATATATAGATTTTTGAATTGCAGAGTGCAGCAAGCGAGATTGTATGATTTTGGTGAGACTGAGACTGAGGCTGAGGCTGAGGCTACAATCGGCGGTGGGTTAATGGGGACTAGAGAGGTATACGAGCAGAAATTAAGGACCGGAAATCTCTACCACGATCCTACTATCAAACCTGGACTCGGTTCCCCTCGCTGTCCTCGCTGTCTTTCTCTCTTAAACCCTAATTCTGTACCTATTCATCTTCAATCTCTCTCTCCCCACCCTTTTTGCTTATTTTTCTTTTCAATGATATAAACAACGTAAGCAACGCACTAATCCTTTCCTTTTTCTTTTTCGTGCAGGCAAAGGGAGAATGGACCATTACTTCTGTTTTACATGATGCAACTGCTGTGGTCATTTTTTTTTTTTTAGATTCATCCAATTCTCTCTTTTTTTTTGCTTATTTTTTGTTTAATTAAACTCAGTTTTTAGTTTTTTTTTTTTCATGCTCCTTTATTTTGCTTTTTTATTTTTATTTTAAGTTAAAGTTTGAGGATTTGTGAATTGAAATAGTAAAATTTTATATATTTATTTTCTGATTTGTAGAATTGAGCCTTGAGTTTTTTTTTCTGAGAAGATCAGTATTGCTAGAATTATTATAGCTGATGATTTAATTTTATTTTTTTAATTGAGTAGGCTGGCTCGGGTATTGGTGGAATGCTTAGTGCAGTTCATGGTTTCAATACCGGTAACAATAAAAAATTCCTTTTCTTGGTGAATTCTGCTTTTGTTTTTACAATAAGTTTTTGTGTTAAGAACACTCTTTTGTTTCAGGGGTCCCATTCCTTCAAAATCGATTGAAGGGACCAAAGTGGCTTCCTTTTCTAGTTGGGGTACGTCTACTATCCTCATCTGTTTGTGTTTTCTGAATCTTTTGACAAACTAATGCCTAGCACTTATTTTTGTTAAATATCAATGAATCATGACATGCTGACTCAATTTGTTAATGTGCGGTTTGCTTACAGCTTCCTCCTCTGCTTGCGGTTTCCGGTGCCAGTGCTGCTTTTGGAGGTAGGCAGAACCTCTATTACTATGATTGAATTATTGTAACATTTTTCTCAGCATGCTATGGATAATTAGGTTGTGTCTTGATTCTAAAATTTTTTATGTTGTCTGGTGTCGTATTCTTAGTTTTTAGAAATGATGGTCATTGCTGCCACCAACTCTAACCTGTTAATCTGTCATTATTTAGGGGGAAAAATTGACATAGTATGTAAGACATAATTTTTCACAAGATTATCTAGGAGTTTCGAGCTAATCTTATCATCTTTTCCTAATTTGTGATGAGAGTCTACAAACAGGATGGGTCTTTCTGGTGCGCAATGTTTTTTTTTTGGGGGGGGTTGTGTCAATTTCTTTGGGTAGGTTTTGAACTCTTAAAAGGGTAATTATCCTATTTGAGCTGAATGAGTTTCCTATTTCTCTCAAAATTGTCGGGCCCGTAAAGGTTATCTTCTTGGATTTGGACTAGTACGAGAGGAAATTCCTTACAGTTTTGGGTCAAAGGTATGTGACAGGGTTAGTGAAGCATTCATAGTGAATACTAGGTTCCTTGGCAGGTACTATGCTGCCTAGGTGCTTAGTCTTCTAGCTGGCCACTACTAGTTCTCTAAGCATTTTTTTAAGGTATGTTTTACTGTGTATCTAGAATAAATAAGGACTGCTATTCAATTTCTTGCATGTTCCACGTTTTCTTCCCAAGTAATGTCTTGTTGGTGACTAAGATATATTGATCCGTGGGAGCGTTTTAAATTCCATGTTAGTTTTTTCTTTTTAATGTGTAATGACATGGTTGATAAAACGAACTCCCTATACTAATCCTCATCATCGTCTCGACAAGAGCTTCTTGCTCCTTGTATTTTTGTTTGCTGATTTGCTTTCTTGAGTTAGATTAACTTGTTTACTGAATTGGGTGTTTAATGATAAACTTGTAGGTTATGTGCTTCCAAAGTTTGCTCAACTTACCGTGACATCCTATTATGCTGCCTCAAGTGCCTCTCATTATGGGATTTCACTCCTCACCCGACATATTGAAGAGGCCTATACTTCCCGATCTCAGCAAGAAAGGCTTAGATGATTTCTTGCAGGTGCACATATTACAGAATTTACTTTCCTCAATTTTGTAAGCAACGTCAATTGTGTGCGTGGATGCATGAACTTGTAGATGCTGTAATTTATGACGTTTACATTTCCACTTTTCTGAATATTAAATCTTTGTTATGATGAAAATCAATTGATGATGCTTTTAGGGTGCTCTTCCATCCATTTTGATTGTAAAGGTATTGATAACAAATTGAAATGCCCTTGTTGGCATGACAGGTGTTTTTACATGTATGATTGTCATATAATGGCATCAGTTGACAAATATAGGGACAGCAATAACTTTATAAGCTTAGGGAAGCGAATGCGCATTAGAAACAAACAATAACGTGAGTGTGAGTGATGATTTTAGTACGCTCTTCGGAGCTGGGTGATGTGGTTGTTGCCAGTCAGATTTCCAGGCTTCTCTATTTCTTTTCTCGTCTTTAAAATTCAGGTATCTTTTTCAAATTTCATCCTTCTAATTTCACAGAAACGATACTTCTACCCAAATCTTCAAATTTCCACGAATAAAAAATAAATAAAATAAAAAGACCTGTATTGAAGAAGCTGCTTACCGCGAATATTTCTTAAAAAATTGTTGTTTGTGTCATTAAATGATATTGCAGGGTATCTAGATAAATGAAGTGCAACTGTTGTAAATAATCCATCATAAATGACTTTTATTTTTTTAATGTTTTTTGAGCTTTATCATACTTGTTAAATTTAAATTATTGAATTCAAATTGAATACGCATTATTTATTATTCTATTATATATATATATAATTTAAATTATTGAATTCAAAATCAAATATACAACATGAGTTATTATGTTTCTTTTTTTAAAAAAAATGAAAGGATCTAATTTTAATAAAACAAATACTTATGTATGACCTATATTATCTTGCATGACTGTTAACCAAGAAAAAAAAAACCTAGAGTAAAATGCTTGCTTACTATTGATTGGCACTACTTCAAATATATTTTATTCTGACTTATTTTCACCGTTTACACATACACATATGTAATATGTATTATTTTCTTACTGTGTAGTAGTATTTTTGTAGTTTTTTAACTCTCTTTAAGGTATTTATTATGAAGGTTTTAATTTTTTTTTGTTTCATCTTGGTCTTTGTTTTTTTCTCTCATTTTAGTCAACTCCTTGCTTTTTTTTCTTCTTTTATTTTTTTAATTAAAAATTTTAAGGCGAAAAGATGGTTAGAAAAAAAATTTTAAAAACAAGTTTTTAGTTAAAAATTCATTAATTTTGATTTTTTTCCTTAGAGTATTATAATTTTTTTAGTTAAGAATGTAAATAGAGATAAATAAATAATATTTTTTTAATTAAAAATTTATGAAAAATATAAAAATAATCAATTAAATACAAACTTTTGATTAAAAAATTAAAAAATTGAATGAATTTTTATTTAATTTTAGTTTGATATATTTTTGTTAGATGTATAATATACCACAAGGCATCAAAGTTAAATAATTTTTTAAAAATAATTTTATGTGTTATGTCAGATATGTAATGTAGTATAAATTAAAAAATAAAAATAGCTAATTCTACTAAACGCTAAAACATATGAGAAGTTCATTGTGCATTTGAGCAGTGAACTTCCACTAGCTGTTTTTTTTTTATAGCCAAGACCCTCTTTTGTGTTTTTTTTTCCTTTCGCTTTATGTAGTCAAGGCCTTCTTTTGGCTTTTAGTAAAGTGTTTTTTTTTATTTTCTACAAAGATATTTTTATGATTTCCTAATAGTTTTTTTTAATTTATTTTTAAATTTTACACTTCATTTTTTTTTTTTGCCCTTTATGTTTTCAAAATATATTTTTAAATCCTCATATTTTTAAAAATATTTTGAAATCTTATGTTTTAATTTAGTCTATTTTTACCTCTTTTTTTTTTTTTTTTTTTTCAAAATACACTTTTTATTTCTCATATTTTTTTTAAAAATGTTTGTGGCTCTTATGTTTTTTAATTTTAAAACAAACACATATATTGAATTATATATTTTTTTTATTGATTAAAATTAATCTCTTAAATTTGTTTTTCATTATAAAAATTCTCATCAAATTAAATTTTGTATGAACTTTTATTTATTGATAAATATGATTTTTTTTTAGTTTTGTTAAAAATTAATTATGTATCTGCATACATAACGTTATTAGTCCCTTCGGTTCAAAAGCTATTTTTTTGTCCTTTTTACTATTTCAATGTTTTTATTTTTTGCTTTAAGAAATAAAGATCGACTAAAACTATAGGAAAAATATGAAAAAAAAGACTTTAAAAATAAAAAAATATATTATTCATGGTCAATACTAATAAAAAAAATAATTCATTCATTTTTCAAAACAAGATGAACTAATTTATTATTTAATTTACATTTTAAGAATCTCTTTCATCAGAAATTAAGAAGTAAGATTTATGGGAACCAATTTTGTAATAGTTTTTATTTCAATTTATTGACTTTAATATATTCCATACAACTTAGATGATTTTTTTTTAAAAATTATTTATACTACATTATTATATACTCGAATCTATTTAGTATAATATATATATATATATATATAGTTTTTGTTGAAAACTAATTTTGTATCTCGTATACATAACACCATTAGTTCCTTTGATTCAAAAAATATATTTTTTCTTTTTTGCTATATCAATGGTTCTATTTTTTGTAATAAATAAAGAAAGAATAATATATATATATATATATATATATATATATATATATATATATATATATATCTTCAATTAGTTTCGTTAGAAATTAACTATGTATCTGCATACATAACGCTAATTATTTATAATTTATTCTTTTTTATATTCTAAAATTAATATTTTTAAATAAAATAATTGAAAGATATATATCTTTAGTTTTGTTATAGTCGTGCTATTTATTAATATGGAAGTCATTGTTTATTGTAAATCTAACAAAATTATTTCACTTGAACAAATTGAAAACTGAATATTAAATTACTGTAACTTTTTTAATATTGCTTTTCTTTATACAAATATTAAAAAGCAGTAATGAATTCAGCGAAGGCTTTGAAGGTATATTTATCCGACCATCCCACACGAAGAAATGGGCTCTATGGGGCTATGGCGACGATATATATGGTAATATGGACACCAGGAACGCCTTTGCTCTGTTTTAGTGGGTTTCAATTCCTTTTACAGGGGAGGTGAGGTTTAAGACGGAATTGGATTTCTAAATGGGCTTCTTCTGAATTTTTTTCCCCAATTTTGGTGACAAGGGTTATGGTAATTTTTGTAATGATTCTAATTAAGTTGATTTATTTATGAGTTTTTCTTATGGATTTTTTTGAGAGATTTTGATAGACATTAACTTATCTAAAACTAATAGATTGCAAAGTTTATTGGCAATATTATGAGTGAATTATGAATTAGTCATTTTAATTTTGAGAAAGGAATTAATTAATCTTTTCCGTTTCATAAGCTAGTTATTCAATTTTTTAAATCTATTTTATGCTATTAAATTTTTTTTTAAGATAGAAAAATAAAAAGAAACAGATATTATGAAAAGATTACTAAAAAATATTTTTTAAAATAAAATAATATTAAATTAAGCATAATGCTTAAAAAACTAAATAATCAATTTTTAAATTAAGAAATATTAATTAATTTTTTTTTTCAAAACTAGAGACTAATTTATAATTTACTCCGATAGGGATAGCAATAACAATATAATATATTTAGCGAAGAAAAAAATCAACCGCACCCCATGGCTTGTTTGATACTTTGATTAAATAATGTTGAATTGAATTAACAAAGTCATAATTGAATTGATAAAGTTCAAATTGTCAATTCATATAAATCGCCAAAAAATAAAAATAAATAAATAATTAATTAATCCTGCATGGACTAAAATACCCCTCAAGCGTGACTTGAGGTCGGCACGGATTAGGGTTTCACAAGTCCACAAAACCCTGTGCCTATAAAACCTAAAGAGACCCGGTTTTTCTCTCTCAAAAACCCACTATCTAGGTATATCTTTAACTCTACAATAATCGGCTATCAGAGAAAGAGACTCACAAGGAAACAGATACCCTGATCCAAGATGAGGGCTAAGGTATTCCTCTCTTCATTTCCTTTCAATGGTTTTAATCTTTGTATGATTCTCTCTAATGGGTTTTGTTTAGATTATCTATTCTGGTAAATATTGTGGATATCGATCGTGTTTGCTTAAATCTCTGCTTCAAGTTCTATTTATTTACTTTTTATCTCGGTAATCTGGGGTTTTGGTTGTCTAGATGATTCAAATTTGGATGTCTGGTTCTATTTTAAAGCTTGTAATTTCTAGGGTTAATAAATGCTGGTTTTGCTCCTCTTTTTTTCTTAAGAGATTTCACCAAATGATTTCATTTCATTAATGATGTATTTTAAATGTTATTAATGTTCTTTAGACACTTTTCTCAGTCCATTGTGAGGTTGCCTTAAAATTGTCTTTTTCTTTTACTTGTTTTAGTGTTATTTTTTTTCGGTGTAATTTAGTTTGTTTGATTTGAAACCTACTGATCCTTTTGAAACTTGGTATCTACTTAAAACACTTAATGGTTTTTTGGGTCTGTGACTGAGGCATTATTTCTTATAGGAAAGTTTGCCTGATGTCACTTAAAATATTTTTAAATAGTTAAATTAGCGAGAGATTCTGTTTCAGAAGCTGTGAGGAAGCTAATTTGTTGTTTTTGTTTTCTGCAGTGGAAGAAGAAGCGTATGAGGAGGTTGAAGAGGAAGCGCAGAAAGATGAGACAGAGGTCCAAGTAGGCTGCGGACTTGGACAATATGGAGCTTTCTGCTGGTATATGCCATTTGATGCTTGCGGCTTTGTGCTGTTTGAAGCTGTGAGGATGAAGGATATGTATCAGGGAATGTTTCAATTGTTTCATTTTGTAGGGTCTTAAACACTGCTTTTGCAACTAGTTTCCTGTTTGCTTAAATTGTGTGTTGTACTTGACTTCTTTACCTTAATATTTCTTATGAATAGATGAATTAAACTTGTTCGAAAATGTTTGATCATGGTTACAATTCTTCCGGTGTGGACATCAGGATGCACGAGCCAACCTCTTGATAGCTGATTTTTCAGACAGACCTAATTAACAGGGTTTGCAGGTTTCGAATCATTGTCTAGGAATGCAAGATGTGGTCTTAAGGACTTTTTTCTCCGCTGGAAATGCCTTGGAATCACACCTTGTTGATTCATCTCTGCCGAACTGAAATTTCTGTTACTTTGAATTTGAACTAGGTTGGCATTAAAATACTTGGTGCTAGAATTTGTGTCTAGTAAGTTCAAGGGGTTCGTGATGAGTTCTTATGTTTGAGGTTAATGGCTCGTGTAAGCCTTCCTCAAACGAAGGAAATATTGTTCAAACTACGCTGGTAAAGGCTCATAAACCATTGCCCGTGTATGACCAAAAACAAACAAACAAACAAACGCTGTATTGTTTTTTGACTGATTTTCGATCCAAGTTAATTGAATAGCGAAAACGGAACAAAAGCAGTCCCAGTCTCCCATTATCTAAATATGTTTTCACAGTATCTTACCCAGTCGAGCAGGAACTGCTCTGAAGCAAATAACAAGTTTGATCTCGTCTGATTACCTTTTTGGCAACCCTGGTGAAATGGGATATTGTTTATATTCGCTTTGAAATCAACAGTTTTGCCGTTCGGTCAAGCACAAGTTGGCTGTTTGAGATGTGCTCTCTTGCTGCAGGTCAAGCAATTCACATAAACACAAATGAGACAAAATCGGGTATAGAAGCTTGCAAGATTTTACAGGTCAGCCAGGATCACACAGCATACAGTGAATAAGCTGAGTTACAAGCATTTTCGATTAAGAGTGAAAAATCCAAGTCATAATGAATAATTTGTACAATCATACGCCAGATCAGTCATGAGAATCGACCTGTACCATATAAAATAAATCCCAGTGCTTGAGCTTGTGCTCCTACCTCGTGTTGCAAGCATTCAACACATTCCAGTGTTGCGACTGCCTGATTCCTTGATTCCCAGTCTCGATTGGAAAGTACAACACAAATTTCTGATGGACATTGGAATCAGTGAACACCCACTTGCCTTCTCAAAGTATCTTCATTCCATGTCCCTTTTCTTGTTTCTAATCTGGATGATGAACACAGTTCTATACAGGTAAACCGTCGAGGCCGTATTGCATAACAAGTCTTTCTACCGTATTTTGTCTCATGACTTGTCTGAGGTACAACTCTTTTAAAACTTCTGCTGCCAACTCCTTTTCTTCTTCATGGGCAATCCCTTCTACTATTATGGTATAAGTTGTTTCATTAGGTGTGTATCCTTTCTCAACCATCATCTCAAAAATCTCCAAGGACAAATCTGTTCTACCACATTTACAAAATCCAAGTATAAGAGCATTGAAATTGTCAAGAATAGGCCTGTAGTCATTTTCTTCCAATTGCCTGAAAATCTCCAAGGCCTCGTCAAGCATTCCCTCAATACACAACCCTCTGATTAAAGATGAATAGGTATAAGGATCAGGAACAAATTCAAACTTTGTCATCTCGTATAAAAGCTGAAATGCTGGATATGTGTTCCCTTTTCTACACAAGCTCGAAATCACACCTTTGTAGAAGTCGTGGGTAGATGAATTTTGCTTTTTACCCAATCTTTGAATTATGGAGTATGCCTGTTTCACCCTTCCCGCCTTGCAGAGCACAGCAATGGCATTAAACGTTCCCTCATTGGGATTACAGCGGTGATGAATCATTTGGTCTAGACACTTAAACACAAGGTCCACCTTCCCATCCTTGCAAAGACGAGCAATTATAGGGTTGTAGGTTGCAGCAGAGGGCTTAAATGATGCTCTCATCATTTCATCCAAAACCTGAAATGCATGTTCAATCCTGCCATGGGAGGCAAGTGAACCAATTAGTATATTATATGTGACCAGAGATGGTGAACGCTCCTCGCAGTCCATCTCAGCTAGAAGCTGGTTTGCCTCTTCCCATCTTCCTTCATAGCACAAACTCCTGAGTATAATATTACAACTGACAACATTCGGATTGAACCCCTTTGATGGCAAATCCCTGAAGAAACGAATTGCCTCTTCCGTCCTACCTTCCTTGCACAATCCAGTTAACAAAACATTGTAACTAACCAAGTTAGGCTTCCCACCCTTTGCAATTATCTCATCCAAAAGCTTCATCGCTTCATCCACACCTCTCTCCTTGTAAGCTGCTTCAAGCAAGAAAGAATGAGTAAATTCATTCGGGACCAACCCTTTTCGTATGAGTTTATCTAGTAACTGCAAGCTTTGATTCAAGTTTCCATGCATGCAAAGCCCTCTAACAAGCGAATTATAGGTAACCGTATTGGTTGGATAGCCATTTTCCTCCATTTTCTCAACCAGCTGCATTGCATACCCAATATTCCCTCTCTTACACAAACTGTTCACCAAAAAAGTATAAGAAGCTGCATCAGGAATGATACCAGAATCAATCATAATTTCCATCACCCTCGTGGCTTTCTTCATCTTATTCGACTTGCACAAATCATACAACAGCTGTGTCGCTTGAGCAACGTCGGGTTTATGACCCTTTCCAACAATAAACTCCAAATGGAAAAATGCATCATTAAGCCTAATGTCCCTATTTCTTGTGCCATTCCTACCAACCTTCCAATTCGGCAGTGTCAAAACAGAGTCTTTAGGGGAACTTGTGATCTGAGTTGATGCCAAAACTCTAGTAAAACCTCCGCTTAGTGAAAAAGATCGGAAATTTGGGACATTTGAAAAGAACCCACAAGCTGTTCTTACAGTCTCTGTAGAAGGGTTTGTTAAAGGAGACACCGAATTCACCAGGGTTGCCATTACAAACAGATAAATAAAAAGCAAAATTCAAAATTTCAGCTTTGGCTCTTTAGCAGAAATTAAAAAAAAAAAAAATCAAAACTTTATTGTTTTTTTTTCCTAAGTGAATAGCTACTTAAAATTTTAGACAATGAACAATAACGAAACAAAAGGGCACAAAAAACAAGGAGAAAAAATTCAGAGAAAGAAAAGGTTAACATACACTGAGGATCATCACTTGTGCCATGCAAAAAGTTTGAGACTTTCTGAAGAAATATTGAAGCAGAAAATGTAGAACTGAGGCTGACGAAGTGGGAGAAGGAATCTGTGTGGGTATAAAGTGTAGTTTTTTCTTTTTCTGGTTTTGATAGCGTTGTGCTGCTCTTTAGGTCCAGTCCGGTCTCATTCAACCCGTAAATTTGCAGTCCTTTTTGTTATCGTCCAAGTGTTTGCTGTAGATGATGCCATCAGAAACAGAAGACAAAGACAGGGGTCCTATCTCTTATCTTTCAAACTACGTTCGTGTAGGGAACGCGCTGTCGTTTACACTATTACCAGTCCCATCTACCTTTGGATTGGGCTTGTGCTTAGAAACAGCAAAAAACGTGGCCACCGCTGTTTTTTTCGTCATCAAAAAATGATATAATTTGCTGGACCGATCCACCAATTTGCAATTGCTTGTGATTTTTTTTAGAAACTCATTAGTGAAATCGTTTCCAGAGTAAATCATAAATTAATCCTCCTCATTTCAAAGAATAAATTATTTAATTCTTTTCATCTCAAAAATTAATTATTTAATCCTCATATTTTTCAATCTATTTGTAACTTAGTCATTTTTTTAAATTTATTTTGATTTTTTGTTATATGAAATATAAAAAAAATAAAAAAATTAATAAAAAAGATATTTTGAGCAGTAAAAATAATATTAAATTAATCATAATTAATATTAGTATAAAAACTAAATAATAATTTTTAAAAATAAAAAAATTAATTATTTTTTTTATATATTTTTATTTCGATTTGTAATTTTATTTGTATTGTAATTTGATTTTTGAACGTAAAGAGAGGAGAAAATTGAAAGAAGACGAAGAAGGAGATAAAGAGACACAACAAGGCTCCATTCTAGCCAACGACATGTCATCTATTTTTTATTTTTTTAAAACTAGTTTGCACCAACCTTGCTTGCTTTTTTTTTTTTTCAATGACTTTTTTTTATTATTGATTTTTTTTTTTTTTGCAAAAAATTAGGAAAGATCGATCATTATTTTTGTTAATCTCTCTCTCTCTCTCTCTATATATATATATAATAAAAATTTACCAAAATCAATTTCATAGTAATTTTTGTTTTAATATATTAACTTTAAATTAATTCAACATGTTCTTTACAAGTTAACATTTTTTTATAGTGATTTTTGTTTTACGTTACAAACTCTGAATGCACTCAATATAGTTATGATGTGTAAAAAACTAAAATTAATCGTTGTTTTTTTAGAAATTAACTATGCGAGTACCATAATACCGAGCATTTACTATTTATTTATTTTTAAATATTTTGAAATTAATTTCTCTTCGGCACAATCTTATGAAGCATTTGCATTTTTTTTAATATTATTCACAAAAGAAAGAATAATATTAGAAGAAAAAATTCTATGTAATTTTTTTATTTCTATGTAAGTTTTTTATTAATTATTACTTTCTTTTTTTACACAATCTTATAAAATACTAAGACTTTTCTAAATTTTTTATTTAATTTTCTTTTTAGTTAAGAATTCATGGATTTAAAAGAATAAATCTTTTTTAATAGAAAAATTATGAAAAACACATAAAAGAAATAGTTAAATATAAAATTTTAATTAAAAATTATAAATAATTTATTTTTTTCCTTGGCTTTCATATATTTTTTATAGGTAAATATCATCAAATCGGAATGATTTTTCTAATTGATTTCATTTGATATATCAAATTTGTAGCTTAATGCAGACAAAAAATCTAATTTTAATCTAAAGGACAAAAAGATGTTTGTATTTTATTATCTCGAGTAATGTTATATTAATCAATTTTTTTATATACAAAAATTAGTATGGATTTTTATTATGGAATGCCAAGCGTTGATTAATAATAGTATAAAAAATTTATTTGGGAACCGTTTTTCTAGAATGGGTATGCAAACAAGAAGAAAAGCCACGTAGCCTTGTCATCCACACTTGTCAAATCCAGGCTGCCACGTATTCCTTCGGAGGCAGCATATAAATTGGAATGGCGTGCATATTATCCTAAATTACAGATATCAGGAAAGTAGAGAGAAAAAAATAAAATGGCAAAGAGTAAGGATGACATAAAACATGGAACAGCACAGGCAAAGCTATCAGAAGATGAAACGTTAAGGATGGCATACAAGCATGGCACCCCACTGGAAGGAGGAAAGATTGCAGATTCTGAACCTGTTGATCTCTTCTCGAGTGCTCATAATATTGCTAACAAGGCCACCTATACGACTCCAGCAGAAGTATCCAACTCCGATGATCAGCCTCAGCCTCAGCGTGACGATCCTGATGGTGCTGGAAGAAAAGCTCACAGGACTCCTACATCCTCCCATGGTTGAGGAATTAACGCTGGACCGTTGTCTTGTGTCTTTTTTTTAAAGTGCATGTGTTTGTACTATTTACTTCTGAGTTATTGTACTAAAAGACGATGTAAGTCTTGTGCGTCCGAACAATCTTTAGGTTTCGAATATTCTGGAAATTTTAAAAAACATGATATCAAAATAAGCAAGTGGTGATCATTTAATTAGATCATGTTCTGTTCGTTGCTTCAAGAAAGTCGAGAAAAGAAGTGTAAGATCCATTTTTGTATTTATTAATGGTTCTATTTGTTTTACTATTTGACGAATTTAAGCCTAAAACAAAATATATCGAAGTTTTAATTTATAATTAAGGCTTTCACTGTTATAGGATTCAGTTACATCTACGAGCAACTAGGATTTTAAAACACGAATAATAAAAATAAATTGAATCTTATCAATTGAAAAAAATAAAATATTATAGATTTTTTGTTATAACGTCGTTAACTATTTATTATTTATTATGTATGGTAAATTCAAAACAATTGTGTCTAATCGGACAATGATATATGATAAAAAAAATTTATTCATATTTTCATATGTCGGTTTCGATTGACACGTATGATGAATAATTAATAGTGTTATAATAGAGTTTCAATTAATAAATTTATAATAAATAATTAATAGTGTTATAATAGAGTTTTAATTAATAAATTTATAAGAATACAAGGTTTTAATGAAAATAAAAAATAATAGAATGTATCAATTAAAAAAATAAAAACTAGCAAATATCAATTATAAAGTAAACTCGTCTTTAAAAATAACAGAATTGATTGACTAGTTTCTCGAGTTCAACTTGCCTTCTTCGAATTTTGATAAGAACGAAAAATTAAAGTAGGCGCACTCGACATGCTTTGATGTAATCTAATTATTTCGGATCTTAATATTTTATGCTTTCTATTGGTTTTTTTTTTTTTTCAGATTTTTGACCGTCAAAATAAAACACCAATACAAGAAAGATTCTGCAACAAAATTTATATTTCTACTTTTGAAGCAAATTAAGAAATTTATAAAATAAAAATAATTAAATTATAATAAATTTCTTTAATGTTTTAAAAGTTTAAGAACTCTCTTCACATTCAAAAAAAATACTATAAATATTTCAATTTATACTCAAAATTTTCTTCCTATCATAAAGATAAATTTAAATTTATAAAGAGTATTACGAAGTAAAAAATATTTTTATTTTAAAAATTTAAGAAATCTTTTCACATTTTAAAAAATACTATACACAATTCATTTTATACTCAAAATTTTCTATCATAAAGGTAAATTTGAACGTATAAAGAATATTATGAACCAGAAAATATTTTTAGTTTTAATTTTTTTTTAATTTTTTTTTTTTTTTTGCATGGGATATCATTAGTTTTGACTTCGATATAAATATAATGGGATCTTTTCATGGCATTTTTCTGTCCCAGATGTTTTTTATTTGGTTTTTCCTACCGGGTGTTGTTATCCTCTCTGTGCTAGCGGCTAGGGCATTATATGACGACAATGTCTTTTCCGCTTCCTCAATGAGTTTGATTGAGTGGGCCGGGCCATCCTGGTGGGTAAAATAAGAGGCCCAAGCCTATCCCGATTATGAACAAGGTCAGGCTGAGACTTGAAAACTCATGTCCAGTCTGTCCAATTTCTACCGGGCCCCAGCCAACCAATCTGGCTGTACAGCCCATGGACAGATCTACCTACGACGTTAACAAAAAAAAAAAAGTTTTTGAATGACTTTTATAAATTTCTTACTCTCGAGTTAGTGCAACGTGAAATGTTAAATGGTTGAGGAAAATCTTATTGATTTATTAATAGTAAAAAAGAAAGAAAAATATCATGACGTATAAAGCTAAAAAGTAAATAAATTAGTAATTTTTAAATAATTAATAAATTAATTCCTTTATTTTTTAGAAATGAAGTAATTATTTTTATTTCAAAATTAATTATTTAATCTTTTCATTATTATTGACTGCACTTAATTTATATTATTTTATTTAAAAATTTCATTTTTTTACTAATTTTTTTCATATTTTATTTATTTATTTTTTTTCTATTTCTTAAGATAAAAAATAAAGTAAATCGAAAAAAAAATAAGTTTCAATAAAAATTTTAAATATAAAATAAAATGAACTAATAATTTGTTTCTGAAAAATAGAAGGATCAATTTATAGCTTACTCCTATTTTTTAGGGAAAATGTAAGAGATTAAAAAAATAAGAGTAGTTATGACTTACGTTGTTGCACGTGATTCGTGCGTATGAAAGCAAGCAGCGGCGGTCGGTGTTTTGTTCCCGCTGCATTGCAGCAGCAAGAGCATCAATAAAAAATAAAAATAAAAAACCTTAAATTCACAATTCCTGTAACTTTGTCTAAATTTCACAATTTCAAAGCCAAAAACAAAAACAAAAAGAAGATGAGATCTTCAAAACAAACAGCAACAGCAGCAGAGAACAACAGAGGCATCAGCGGTCACATGTTCACTCTCCATCAACGTCTCTATCATGCTCTCAACCTCGGTACCAGGTATCTGCTGTCTCTCTTTCTCTCTCTCTCTCTCTTTTATTTTTTATTTTTTATTTTTTAATTTGAGGTATTTAGTTAGGTTATTACATTAAATTTTGAAACACAATTTTGTACTTCTGTGCTTAAAATTAGTAGATATGCTGAAGGAAAAGAGCGGAAATGGAAGTGTGCTGATATTGAAATCCAACGACATGTCGTCCGCTCGATTTCTTCCTTTCTTGATTCTGCTTCGCCAGACACCTTACATCATCCTCTTGTTAAGGTAACAAATTACTATTATTTTTGTTCTAATTGAGGTTTGTAAAGTAAAGTTATCAGTGCTAGTGTTTTATTATTGGCTGATGATGGAATAAGAAGTACTAAACTGATTTGAAACTCCTTGGGATCGTTTTTTATTCATTGTTTCATGTCAAAGGTAAAGTCCTAAACAAATGTGCTGGCGAATGCAGACTTGTTTTGATCTAATTCTGAGCATAGCTACTTAATGATGTCCGGTTTTTTTTAATGATATTACCGTTGGTTAAGATTTATCAGGTTTTAAGGGTATATTTTGTGCTGATTAAGTATTTTTATGTACTGAAGTTAGTACTACATTGAGGAAAATCTATCTTTGCTTTGCTTTTGAAATTTTGTGTATCATGGATGCGACTTGTTGACTTAAAACGGTATGTTAGGCAAGAGCAACACTAAATATATTTCGTTTATCAAAACTTGCATGGCGATGTGGTTTCTATCACTTTGAAAATTTATTATGGTTTATTGGAATGCAACAGTTGATGAAGTAACAACCATAAGCTGTCTCATTAGTTGACTTTTGGTATCTCTAGCGTTATTACTTATGGAATAGGGAATGGTGAACTTAGCTGATATTAGATGGGATTTGCAAAGTTATTGTATAGCATGTCTGTGGTATTATCTTACTTAAGTAAAGGTAATGGTGGGTGGTGATATTTTATATTAGCACACCTATATTTTGCCTTCCATTTTCAGGATTCAGTGGCCGATATAGTTTGGGCATTGGTATGGATTCTTCAGAATAAAAGTGAGTCTGTATTGAGTATAGCAGTAAATGTGGTAGTAAAGTTGATCCGCATTATACCCAATTCAATACTGCAACCGTATTCAATGTATCTGGTTCATCCTCTAGCTTCCTTGCTATCTTCCCGTCGATTGGAAGTCTCAATTGCCTGTGCAACTGCTTTGAATATGATTCTCTCGAATCTGAGTGCAACCAGGGAGAAAAGTGTTTGGAAGATTCTGAGTGAAACGAAAACTGTTTTTCTTATTGTTACTGGTATACGGGAATTTGCTGGTGGTACTATGTCTACTGAATATTTCAAAGAGATGGCTTCTCTTTTGAGCACAATACTGCAAAAGTGGTCTGCTTCTCGATTTTCTGTTTCGAATGATGCTAAATTAATGGAAGTTCTTGAGGCTATGCACGAAAGTACTGATGTTTCTGTTAAGGTTGCACTTTTGAAGTTATATTCAGGGATAGGTATAATCATATGCACTGAGCTTCACTTCTTCTTCTTCTTCTTCTTCTTCTTTCTTCTTTTTTGTGCGTTTGTGGATTCTATGAGGCTCAAATTTGGTAATCAATGACTCTTGTTTCAAATGCCAGCTCTATGTGGTAATGGGGCCATGAAGCTTCTTCAAAATGGGGAAGCCGTTCTCCAAATGATGGTTCTCTGCATGGTCAGATCCCGCCCTCTTTCTCTTCAGATGGAAGGATTTAGACTTGCCCAACGCTTAGCGGTAATAATTGTAATCTGTTCTTTCACAAGATGCCTAATTGAGACATGTTAACTGTGTGTAAGTTATTGTGCATCATCTATTGCTCAGACAAATAAACAGGGATGTTTAAAAATGATGAGCTTATGTTGCGAGCCTATTGTTAAAGCTATAATTGATGGAATGACTGGATGGACCTCAAGCTCGGGGAAGATTGCAAATGACCAGATGTCTTTGTTAGTCGAAGCTTGTCGTTTGGCTCTTATAATTCGCTGGGATGGGGAACATCATGATTATTTTTGGAAGAAAGGAATTGACAGGGTCCTACTTGATCTTCTTCTTGAAAATTTTCAGAATAGACAATCTCTACACCTCTTGACATTTGAAGAACAGATATCTAAAGCACAGGAGGCTCTCAAAGCAGATTTTCTTCTTGTTTTGAGGCCATATGTGTGGGATATTCTTGGATGGCTGGCAATATACTGTAGGGAAGATTTCAACCCCAACATTCATGGTCATGAACTTCTCGTTGATATGCTTATTAGATGTGCATGGTAATGTACTGCTCATATCTTCAAAAATTGCCTTGTTTCCTTTGGAGTCAAATAGATTCTTAATATCCTAGTGATCAACCTTTGTGTTCTGGACCCTTTTCTCCTGGTTACTGATTAATATTTCTTTTGATTGCTTATCCTTTGATAGCTTAACTTTTGCGGATTCAGTTCGTAAAGGATGCCAAATTTGTCAAACTGATCTGGCTGATACATTCAGAAGTGAATCGGCATCAAGGGCAGTTCTTATGATGATTTATTCTCCCTGCAAATACATTGCATCAAAAACGAGGTCTATGCTGTCTGAAATTCTAAAGCCAACCAGCAAGGAATATTTGAAACACTCATTGCGCATCCTCAATTTTACATCAACGAGGGATAATTTTGGAATACCAGATATGCTTCAAACTGGCATCAACTTGGTGGCTTTGACATGTTGTGCTTGTTTGCCATGGTATCGAAGTTACATTGTTAAAAGTGGAGGAGTAATGACACTAATGGCTTTTATAAGGTGGTGCATAAGCAATGATGTCCATATAGGAAGGCTGAGCTTTGCTCCTCATTTGCATAATATATTCAGTCAGAGGCCTTGTTGCTGGGTGTGCAAGGAAGACTGGGAAGGCAATGACATACTTTTATTGTATGGTTTGTGGGGGCTAGCTGAGTTGCTACACTATGGATCTATAAGTAAAAATCTTGACATTTTTGCTGGTGAGGTGGAATATACTGAAGCTCAGTTTGTTAGAATGCTCCAGGAGATTTGCATTGACAGCTCTGCTCTTGGGCTGAAATGGATTGCTGCATACATTCTAAGTTACTTTGGATTTTATGGTTTTCCTTGTAAACTTGGAAGGCGTATAGGGAAGGCACTTAATGAGAATGAATTTGCTGACATGCGACTTATTCTTGCAAATGGGGACACTATGAGTGTTCATGGTGTCATTCTTGCTATTCGATGTCCATCATTGCTGCCTCCTGAAGAATTATCTCATGTTGAGAAAGCATCTGATGGTTCTTCTGAAAGGTGTGATGTAAAGAAGCAGTGTGGAAAGTTCCAGAAAGATGTTCGTTTATCTTCACATGTTGACAATCAGGCACTGGCCAAGTTGTTGGAATTTGTTTACTTAGGATACCTGCATGCTCAGGATGAACACGTAAAGAAATTGAAGATTCTTGCTAAACATTGTAATTTACAACCTCTATCAACAATGCTTGGCAGAAGACGTCCAAAGTGGGGCACTCTTTTCCCCATCTATGATCTTACCCCTGCTCTTGCTCCAACTGGTCATCACTTTTCGTATGGTTTGCTTCTTAATTTGCACCTAAGGACATTTTGAGTTGTGTTGGATCAGTGTGTTTTATCCTCTTTACATTTTTGTTAAATTACATTAACTCCACTAAGGTCTCTTCAAATGATACGTCACCCTATAGAAGGTTAATTGAACAAGCATTCCTTGGGCTTTTTTTTTTTTTTCCTCCTTTTATTTGAACTGAGGCACCCTCTAGTTTGCGTTTGTACACTCTATATAGCAGTAGTGATAGTTTGGCCTTCAGTATCAGGTCTTTATATTGCCCTTTTCTGATTTTAATTTGCTTTTTTGTACAATTTGTTGGAATTCAGCCCTTCAACTAGGCACACACAAAAGAAAAATCATTGATGTTTTCCACAGTGGCTCTTAATTTTTCTTCTTTATTTCCTTTTTTCCCCTTTCATGTCCTCGTGTCATTCTTTTTCTGCTTATTTTTTAATTGGTTTTATATTTTTTTGCAAGTTCGTGTACAAGTTTGCGGTTTAGCTTGTATTTTTCCTTCCATGTATGTCTGGCTAAGTAATTATGGGTGTACATTTATATTCTAGGATGTTACTTTATATTCTAGACTTGTGAGATAGTAATTTATTTTTTGTTTTTAATAGTAAATTGTCAGCACCACAAATTGTTTTTCCTACAGTGGTTAATAGGAATTCGTTTGTAGCCATTTCAAAACACGTAGCATAGTCTATAATTAGAAGAATAGATGGAGTTAAAACATAAAATCATTGCTTTTTTCTCATGTCCAATTCTTTTCTATCCAAGAGCCATCATTTATTGCTTGAATATAGTATATTCTTGCAAATTTAGGTAAGTTAAGTTTCCAGATAAATTGCCCTTGTTAGTGAAAAGTGTAGATCTCATATTAACTATCCATCAAGGGTACATCACTTTATCTAGTTTTGGTGGAAAACAATCTGGTGTTGTTTCTGGAGTGCAAATTTCATGCAGCTACAAGAGACCAGATCTCCATTTTCTCATTAATATTGGCATTTGACTCCTCTGTGTGTCTGTGGGCCCAGTGAATGCTTGTTAGCTAGTGTAAGGCTGGAACTATTTCTCAGACCTCCTTACCTTGGAGACCTACCAGAAAATTATTTATGACTACAAATGATGATCCTTTGTAGAGAAGATTTAGATTCAAATTTATATGTTTAGATCATCTATTGCATGGGATTTATGGTTATAAATTCTATAGTTTTTTCGTTTTCTGTATCTCAGTTACTAAGATGTTTGACTAAAGTTGTAATTTTGGAAGATTAGAAGTTTTTAGTTGAATCTGCGTTGTGCTTGCTACCTTCATGTGACTAGTTTTTGGAATCATTGGTGGTAATTCAGTTTGTTTCTGATTTTAGGGACATCGTCTTGAAGCCAAAAGAAGCTGAATCAATCAGCTGGAAATGCAGCACGTGCTCCCTATCATTTCCACACATGCATGCTCACAAAGTTGTATTGTCACCTAGTTGTGATTATTTGCGGGCTTTGTTTCAATCAGGCATGCGAGATAGGTACATGCATTAGTGTTTTGAGTACATAAGTTCACATGCACACTTGTTCGTCGATTCATTTGAATGATTGAAAGTGTTGAAACTTATACTATGATGTCAAGGGTTTATCTGCATATTATTGTATGCGGCTGTGATTACTAATTTGCTAGGCAGCTTGCTATTGTATTCCCTTCTTGTCCATCTTATCTTGTATTTGGGGAAAGTGGGTGCTACGTGGTGAGTTTGAAAGAGTCTAGGTATTCCAAGGGCTTATGCGTGCATGCGGGGCTTGGCTGTCCTGTGCATGCTATAATACTGGGATATGTACCATACAAGTATTCACCTGAGGAGGACAAGTACTGGGTAATGGAGATTTCAAGAAGTAGTGACCTAGGTTGTTTAGCCTTATTCTAAGTATTTTGCAACTGGTATTTCATATTATAATAAAAAATCTCTGAAATAGTAGTTTTAGAAGTCGTTTCTTTCCTGTGCTTCCTTGATAACTGATATTCCTGCTCTCCTACTTAGCTTTTGATCTTCTGTGTTACTGTTTTTGTGGCATTTTCTTATGTTATTTATGCATACAGTCGTTCCGGAGCCATAGAGGTGCCTGTTAGTTGGGAGGCAATGATCAAGCTAGTGAGCTGGTTCTACACTGATGAGTTGCCCAAACCTCCCTCTGGTTGTTTATGGGATAATATGAATGATGGGGAAAAGCTACATCAGCTGCAACAATATCTGGAGCTTTGCTGGCTAGCTGAATTCTGGTTTTTGGAAGATGTTCAGGATAACAGCTACAAAGTGATTGTATCTTGTCTGGATTCGGCCAGACACCTGTCTATTAAAATAATCAAAATTGCTTCAGAATTCTCTCTTTGGAAATTGGCTGAAGTTGCTGCAAATTACCTTGCCCCTTTCTATCGTCAACTATGCCACTCTGGTGATCTTGAAGCGCTGAATGAAGAGCTAGTTGATATGATTCGTGATGCTTCTGTTCGGCTTTCTCAAGAAGGGTAGTGCGACTTTCCAAGTTGATTGATTTACTTTTCCTTGGATGGTTTGAATTTTCAAGGATAAGACGGATTTGAAACTCAGAATCTCAAAATGCAACGGAATCAAGGAATGTAAATGTGTTTGCTGGCTGGTGAGTTCATGTATAGTTAGTTAGTCTTAGTTTTAATGAAATTAGGTTTGGATGCTTGGTCTTCTGCTAATCTTTTTACATGAATTCCAGAAATCAGGGTCATAGTTTCTAGCATTTCTGGAAAGAGCAATAGACGATAGTGTTTTTTGAATTTACGTGCTGCTAATTTATAACTTACCCACACTACATTGGTGGAGGGCCCTTATTTGCAAATTTCAAATCTAAAATCTTTATGCCGATTGTGTTGTTTCTTATTCTTATTTGAACGTCGATATTGTGTTTGTTTGAATTTTCGATTTCTTTTTTCAAAAAGAAAACATATCAATTAGTCGGATTATAGTACCTATGATTTATAGCAAGGACTACTGAGAAGGTGTATTTCTGCCATGGCATTCAATATAGAAAGAAAATATAACTATCATTTCTATTTAGGACAGAAACAACAGAACTATCGAATATGCTCTTACAAGCTTGTGGAGCATCACATTTTAGCTCTAGGTCATGACTTGGTGAAATCAGTATAAGCATGTCTCCTAAGCAATGCTATCAAGAAATCATTCCATGCATCGATAGGGCCTGGCATACACCAATGGACACAGTCATTGTAACCTTTCATCCATTTGTTACCCCAGTAGGAATTAGGGTGCCCATCTGGTCTCATAAGCATAGCCTTAGTGACATCCAAAACTTCAAATTTTTTCGTTCTCTTTGCTTCTTGTCTTGCTCTTTTAATTTCCTCTACTTGAATGTTTCTGAGTTTCCATTCTAAACTTGCCAAGTTAATCTCTTTTTCGTTGAATGGATGTGTTCTATTGCAGCTCCCTCCTGTATCCCACGATCCATTCTCAAAATGTGCAGGTGAGAATGTCCTTAACACAGTCAAAATATTATTGCACTCTTTGCAATTGTTGATGTAATTGAGCACAATTTTGATTACCCTCTGGAGGGCAGAATCAATCTCAAAGCTTTCGATTCCTGGTTCACCGCAGAATGTGCATCCGATCATCTTCCCTTTATCGTAGAAGTAGTTCTTCCTGAAGAACCAATGAGCAGCTGATAGGATTGCGTAGTCCGTTTCTGGGAGTTTATCTGCCCAGTTCTTGTCAATCTTATCTAGATGCAGGTCAAAAACACCAGTGCCGCTACCATTAATCACCCTTTCCTCATCAACTACTAGGAATCTAGTCCAGATGACCATTAAGGTGAAATTACTGCGAGCAAAATACCATTTTCTATTACGATCTTCAGTATCCTTGTAGATGCCCAATGGCATTTCTTCCTGAAAAAAATTCAAAATTTGTCATGACACAGATGTCATAAAACGGGAGATTCTGGTCAAGTAATAGTGAGCTCTTCACATTTGTAAGAGATTACCGGTTCAAACCTTTCTTTTAGAGCATTTAAGTCTTTACAAGAGAGAACTAGAGTAGTCTTTTATTTTTATAGTGATGGTTAATTTAATTCATCGTAGTAATACGATTTTTTTTCCCATCCTGCTAATTGCTAATGCCAATCCTCTTACTATCTAACTGTTTATTGTTGGCTGCAAGGTCCTATAATTGACCAAAAATAATAGGAAGAAGAAGAAGAAAATAATGGGAGATTCGTTCCAAATTTGATGGGATAAAATCCCTAGATTTTACCAAGTTAACTAGGAGGAAAAGAATCACATGAACTATTTATCCCCAAAAAGAAGAAAGAATTACATGAACTAACCGATGACAAGAGGCAGAGAAGCGATTCGACATGGTTTCGAGCAACAGAGTCTCCGATGAATGCCATCGTCTTTCCTCGAACAATATGAAAAAATGTTCTGGGATCAAATCTTGGAAGCTCACATCCATCAGGCTTCCACCTCCATTGCAAAAATTCTGTGTCCTGCCTTCCTTGCATCAAGCAATTCTTCGATTCGGGGATCGATGAACAGCTTACATTTGTATATTGAGAACCTCTTGGGTCTGGAACCCAGTGTCCACTAAACAACTCACAATTTTCTTCTTCTATGAATTTAAAAAAGGAAAAGGATAAATAAGGAAAAACTCAACCAACAGATAGAAGAAACATATCGAGAAATAGGAATTTTTTTTTTACATCAGAATTCAGAAAGCTACCGTTCTGAAGTGGAATCAAGAGCTGTTGATGAAGTTCCACATTCTTTGGCAAGTTAGATGTCTTTGGAGAATAGAGCATGAAGAAGCTGAAGAGGAATATCAACCCTACTGTATAAAAGAAGCGATTCATGTCTGAGAAGAAAAAAACGGAGAAAAAAGAGGATCAAGGGTTAAGTGCAAAAAAACATTTTAGAAAATTAGACATTGTAATACATCATATCATAGATGGAGAATTTAAGCAAAAAAATCTATAAATGGAAAATAATTTTATCAAGTTTCCTATTTTTAGTCTGTGGGGAAGATTATCAACATTAATGTGGTGAATATATACAGAAAGTTCCACCAAAAAAAAACAGTTTAATGATTCTTGTCCATTCATTTTCTTTCTAAAATTCATCTCCCTCCTCTCTTTTTCCAGAGAAAAAAAATCTGCAAACATGAACAGATGCAATGGGACCGACACTTCTATGGCAGTTTTTGGTCCATTGCAGGTCTTACGCAACGCCTACGCCTCCACCTTCATGAGGTTTTAAGAGGTAAGTAGAGACCTAAGATCAGTCCAAACAGTTATGTTTATCATATATATTTTTTAATATTCAAACATGATCAGTTCCAACGCAAAAAGAAAGTAATGATTTTTTGATGTGTCTGCTGAATGCTGATAGAAATATTTGCTTTCCCTCTTATTATCTTGAATTTGAATTTGATCCTATCAGATATTTTAATTATCCTTCCAAACCACCTTTTTTTAAAACATTTTTCTACTGAAAATATATATATATATATATATATATATATATATATATCTATCCGTAAGATAGTAGGATTTGATTTCTCTTATAACTTTACTAGCTAGTTTAACAGAAACACTACCCTAATACAAACTCAACACCTTCACCTTTCCAAATCAGAGAGCATTGCTTCACAAGGAATAAAACTCTTCCCGTAAGAAAGAAAGAAATACTTTTCTTTACAAAAAAGGAATCCTAAACCTACAATAATTACTAATACACTAAGTTCCTTTGCAATTCCAACTATAAAACCAGGGGAGACTTCTCCTTCTTGTTTATTGAAATTCTTGCTTCCTCTCTTTTCTTTGCAATGGAGAAATTTTCAGGTTATTCGGATGACAGTACTTCTGAAACCTCAAACTCAATGCCTTTTGCTTCTGCTTCAGGTTCTCCTGTCGAAAACCATTCGCTTTCTGTTGGCTACCGCTCCTTGACAGAAGGAAGAACCGACACAAGAAACCATCAGGGTTTGTCTCCAAGAAACTATCTTTTGGCTGCTAAAGGTGGTTCTTCACCAAGAATTCAAGAAACCAGGATTCATGGGCTTCCACAGTATCAGGCTGGGTTTGCGAAATCCATGATGGTTCCACAACCGCTGTTTTCAGAAACTATATGGGGATCAAACCGTTTGGGCAATGGAGAGAGTTTTCAGGGTTCAAGTTTGCAACCTGGGGCTTGGAGTTTTGTTTCGAATTTCAATTCTCTTAGTGGTTCTATCCTCGATGACAGAACCGGTAGTGCAGGTTCCAACTTAGGAGGCATTGATTATAGTGTGGTGCAGAATCAAGGAGAGGTTCGCAATGCAAGGACTTTTCTTGGTTTGCTTCAAGGGGATGGTTTTGTCAAATATTGTTCAGACAAAGATGGTTCAAGAACACTTAATGGTTTGTTGAGGTTGAGGAACCCAGAGATTACACGTGAGATATATAAGAAAGTTTTTGCCTTGTCATCAAGCCGATTCCCCATTGTTTTCGATTTGATGCTTGATCAATATGGATGGCATGTCTTTGCAGAGCTAATTGATTCATTGAACTATCAACAGTTGAGGCTGATTACGTATGAGATAACCAAGGACTTGCACCTTTTTACTGCATTAGCAATCCATACACATGGTTCAAACTCGATCAAGAAGATCATCAGAGTACTCAGTAGATCAAGTTTGATTTCTTTCGTGACCAATAATCTGTGTGCTGCATTTTATCTAATCATGACGAATCGGATAGGTTTGTATGTTGTATCGGAGTGCTTAAACCACCTGAGGGCCGAAGATAATAAGTTATTATATGAAGCAGCCATTTCATGTTGTCTAGATTTAGCAATAGACCATGACGGATCCATAGCCTTAATCAGGGTCATCAACACCATCCAAGGTCTGCAAAGATATCGGCTTCTGGATATACTATCTACAAATGCAGTGTTCCTGTCTCAGGATCCAGAAGGGAACTATGTGATTCAGAAGGTCTTGTCCCTCGATAATCCTATATTCACCCATTTAGTATGCTATCAGCTTAGAGGCTATTATGCAGCCATCTCATTGCAGAAAGGAGGCAGCCATATCGTCGAAAAATGCTTGGGTACAGAATGGAAGAGTTGGGTGATTGAGGACTTCCTAAGCAACTCCAACACACTATTGCATGTTGCTAGAGATGAATTTGGCAACTATGTGATCCAAAAAGCATTGAAAGTCACCAAGAAATCAGATAGTCCCCTCTACCAGAAACTTTTGTTGCGCCTGCGACCACATCTTAGCATTCTGCGGTCGGGATATGGAAGGAATGTCTTCAATCTGATCACCGGTGGACAGTCAGTTAAGAAACTGTAGTTTGATGTTGGTTCTGTTTTGTTCTCGTTATGTCTTAACTATGATACTTCATGTGTAAGAGTAAATCAGTTAGTCCTCTCTACCAGAAACTTTTGTTGCGCCTGCGACCACATCTTAGCATTCTGCGGTTGGGATATGGAAGGAATGTCTTCAATCTGATCACCAGTGGACAGTCAGTTAAGAAACTGTAGTTTGATGTTGGTTCTGTTTTGTTCTCGTTATGTGTTAACTATGATACTTCATATGTAAGAGTTAGTGTCTCTTAGTGTTTGAAGAAGTAATTTTGTGTCTTAGGTAAATTTAAGGTAGATTTTTCCTCTTCTTCTTCCTCTGTCCTGTTTTGTAGGCAATCTTGTTAGTCGCTGTCATATTTACTTTTCACAATGTAATGTTGTTTTGCAGTCTAAAAAGAAAATATTAACAAAAGCAAGTAGTCACCATAGTTGCTTTGTATTCCTAATACAAGTGGTTATCCTATCTATGTTCTTAATCGCTATAGAGTAAACCTAAGTTACCTAACAATATATTTGTCTCTCTTCTCTGCATCATAAGAAAGTTTCATAATGAAGATGATTAGATTATTTCTGGGCAAAAGGATAATATTAATTACTACAGGTTTCGATGTAATTGCATAAGGGGAAAGTCTATTAGCGCTCATGCTTATATGTGCACACACTCCACAGCCGTTGGATGATAATCTTCAACTATGAAACTGAAAGTTAATCATCATTAAGGATGCTTTAGGAGACTTTCCCTTGCATAAGAGCAAGCTATATAGTTCCAATGGTCAAATATTTACAAAAGAAAAACCAATTAATGCATGGATTGTTGAATGAAGAAGAAGAGCATTTAGCCTTGCATGGATTTCTCCTTCAGGATTGTACACAGTTTTTCATTGAATAATAATAAAAGGTCCCTTCAGAGAACTTCACTACTTTGACAAGCCATAGATGTTGCAGAAGAAATGGATTCTTAAGGACAAGAATTTTTGTTCAAGATTACACTTCTATAAAATTCAAATGATCAATCTCTGTAACAGCAGAAATAGTATGACTGATTTAATCTTAATAGCTAGCTTGCTGTCAAAATCAAAAGCTGGCTAGCAAGCATTTGTATAGGGATGGGATCATCAATTGAGCTGAAGCCAATGAAAAGATCCACGAAGAAATAGAACAATTTCAATGCTTCTCCAAGATTTATTGTCAGCTTCAAGAAAATTATTAAGATTTCAAGCTCCAAAATCCAAGTGCATGTAAGTCCGAATCAGAAGCATCCAGAACCCTTTTCCTTTTCAAGTTGTGGAAGAGTAATGTACTCCCCTGTAATAGGATTCAATGCACACCTAGTAGGTTTATACCAAGCTTCTGAACCAATCTCATGCCGACACATCATGCCGTTGCGTTTAACTAACTAATTCGATCTCAGACTAAAACCTGGAACTCCAAGTAAAAGTGGCTGCCAGATCATAATCCAAGTGCTAAAAAAAAAAAAAAAAAAATCATCATTGCATCTCTCCATGAATATTAAACCATATGGCACAGTAGAAGAATCATATTTGAAACGGTAAGAGACACATGCAGTACCGCATTAATACATGTAAATGATTCTTTAAGGATTTGATTTCTCCTATAGCTTTACTAGCTACTAGCTAGTGTAGGAGAAACCCACCCTACATGATAACAGCTTATCCTTTCCAAATTCGGAAACATTGCTGCACAGGAAACCCTTCCTAACAAAGAAGTACTCTTCCTTACGGACAAGGAAACCTAAACCAACAAGGACTAATAGACTCTCCTCTACAATTTCGTCTATAAAACCAGGAGAGACTTGTTTATTCAGATTTGTGTTTCTTTGTATTGTAATTCTTGTATTCTTGGTTACTCTCTTTTTGGTATCTTTTTTTTTTCAAACCTCAACTCAATGTCTTCTGTTGCGGCTTCAGGTTCCCCTCTCGAAAACCTTGTGCTTTCTGTTGACAATCTTTCCTTGACAGAAGGGAGAACTGACATAAGAAACCGTCAGGATCTTTCTCCAAGAAACTATCTTTTGGCTGCTAATGGTGGGCCTTTACCAGGATTTCAAGAAACCAGGATTAATGGGCTCCCACAGTATCTGGCCGGGTTGGCTAATTCAACTCTAGTTCTATCATCACTGTTTCCTCAAACTACCTGGGGATCAAATAGTTTGGGCAATGGAGGGAATTTTCACGGTTCAAGATTGCAACCTGGGACAAGAAGTTTTGTTCCGAATTTAAATTCTCTTAGTGGTCCTGTCCTCGATGAGGGAAAAAGTTTTGCAGTTTCAAACTTAGGAGGAATTGAATACAGTAGGGTGCAGAATCAAGAAGAGCTTAACAATGTAAGGATTTTTCTTGGTTTGCTTCAAGGAGATAGTTTCGTCAACTACTGTTCAGACCGAGATGGTTCAATAACACTTCATGGTTTATTGAGGTTGAGGAACCCAGAGATTACCCGTGAGGTATATAAGAAAGTTTTGGTCTTGTCATCAAGAGGAGTCCCCATTGTTTGCGAGCTGATGCTTGATCAACATGGATGGCATGTCTTTGCAGAGCTAATTGATTCATTGAACTATCAACAATTGAAATTGATTACGTATGAGATAACCAAGGACTTGTACCCTTTTATTTCATTAGCAGTCCACAGACATGGTTCGAATTCGATCAAGAAGCTCATCAGAGCACTCAGTGGTTCAAGTTTGATTTCTTTCGTCACCAACAATCTGTGTGCTGCGTTTTATCTAATCATGACCGATCGGACAGGTTTGTATGTCGTATCGGAGTGCTTAAAACACCTTAGTGCTGAAGATAATAAGTTATTATATGAAGCAGCCATTTCATGTTGTCTTGATTTAGCAATAGACCATGACGGATCCATAGCCTTAATCAGGGTCATCAACACCATCCAGGGTCTGCAAAGATATCGGCTCCTGGATATACTATCTACGAATGCAGTGTTCCTGTCGCAGGATCCGGAAGGGAACTATGTGATTCAGAAGGTCCTATCACTCGATAATCCTGTATTCACCCAAAAAATATGCCATCAGCTTAGAGGCTATTATGCAGCCATCTCATTGCAGAAAGGAGGCAGCCATATCGTCGAAAAATGCTTGGGTACAGAATGGAAGAGTTGGGTGATTGAGGATTTTCTAAGCAACACCAACACACTATTGCATGTTGCTAGAGGTGAATTTGGTAACTATGTGATCCAAAAAGCATTTAAAGTCACCAAGAAATCAGGCAGTCCACTCTACCATAAACTTCTATTACGCCTGCAGCCCCATCTTAGCATTCTGCAGTCGGGATACGGAAGGAATGTCTTCAATTTGATCACCGGTGGACAGTCAGTTAAGAAAGTGTAGTTTGATGTTATTCTGTTTTGTTCTCTTTATGTCTTAATTATGCTACTTTCTATATAAGAGTTAGTGTCTTCTAGTGTTTGAAGAAGTTATTTTGTCTTAGGGGAAATTAAGGTGGGATTTTCCCCTTCTTCTTCCTCTGTCCAGTTTTGTAGGCAATCTTGTTAGTCGTTATCATATTTACTTTTCATAATGTAATGTTGTTTTGCAGTCTAAAAAGAAAATATTAACATAAGCAAGTTGTTGACTAGCTGTTGTCTTTTTGTTCTTAAAGGCTACAGCAAGCCTTAACCCAATATATTTGCCCCTCTTCCCTGCATCATTAGAAAATTCCACAAAAAGGATGATTATCAAGCATAGAGATTAGCTGGGAAAAAGAGATTCTAATTATGCTATGTTTCACTGTAATCGCAGAAGATCAAGTTTTTCTTTAAAAATTGAATAAATTTAAAGGTCAAATATTCACAAAAGAAAAACCAAGCTTCACTGCATGCAGGACGTAGAGCAGACAGATTTGACAAGAAAAACACAGCAAAGACATTTTGCATGAAGCAAATATGACAGATCATGTTTGAAGCCTTATCTTTTTTGCAAGCAAATATGTTAGAAATTCGATTTACGCTATACTTGATTGACTTGAGTCATTTCATATCATGATTCAAAGATTGAAAATCGGCGGGGTTTACTAATCCTTTTCTTTTCGTCGAAATCTGAAAAAGTTTTCATAAAACTCCTCTCCTCTCCTTGGATGATTTGTCAACTCTTCAATCAATTACTTCTTGGTTATTTTTTTATGGAGGACTAGGAGTATCCAGCCTTGCATAGTTTCTCCCTCAGGACTATACCTTTCATTGCACAATAGTAGCATGTCTCCGTTTCCGAAAAGAAACGGACATAATGACATTAATCTAAGTTGCTTGCTGTCAAAATCAAAAGCAAGTATTTGTATAGGGATAGGATCATCAACTGATCTCAAGCCAACAAAAAGATCCACCGAAACGCAGGGAAAGATAAACCATTCGTAAACCAAAACACAAATTTAAATTATACTAATAGGCAGTAGGTTTAAATTGATTTCTTTTGGAGCTAAATCTAAGCGCACGAGTCCAAATCAGAACCTTTTACTTTTCAAGTGGCGGAAGAATAATACACTCGCCTGTAACAGGATTTAATATGCACGTAGTAGGCTTATACCAAGCTGTTGAACCAGTTTCATGTAGACATATCAAGCTGTTGATCAAATTAACTAACTCGAACTCAGACAAAAACCTGGAACTCCAAGTAAAAGTGGTTGCCAGATCACACAATGGTCAACATATTTTTCTCCAGATTCTTCCAGTAGAAGTTCCTAATATGAAGAGTGTAGATGCTTGCGAGTTCAATAGAGCATTGCTCATCACAAATCCACAAGGTTTTCGTTCCAAAGTTTAACAAAATCTAAGGTCGAAGAGAATAGATGGTCACAAGACACAAGACACCAGCACTTTAGAACAGTTGTTACCAGAAACTATGAGAAAATCTCAGGAGGATTTGGTTCGGCAGATTTTACATCACATGATTTTCAGTTTTTTTGTTTCTATTCAACAAAGACATTAATCCACAGGCTGGTATCTGCGCATAAATCCTGAGCCAAAAAAATAGCAGCAGACATTGCATAAATCCTGAGACCAAAAGAATCATCATGAATGCCTTGCTAGTAACGAAAATGGCAATCCCCTTTAAGAGCACCTAATACAGTCGGAAATTTCTAAAGCAAACATTGGTCAGAAATGATTGACGAGAAACATAGATCAGCAAGAGCTCAAAAAGAATTGAGAAAATAGAAGAAACACATGCAGTATAGCATTAATGCAATATAGAGATTGTTTATGAGAAAACTAACAGACAGTTATCCAATGTTACAAGCTAAACTTGGTAATCACTTGAAGAATTCAAACTCCATCGCATCCCCTATTCCTCAAAACCACCACCAGCAACTGCACTGCTTTATTACCATTTACTACAGAAGGATGTCACACAGCCCATACCAGAACATGAAAAATCATATCCACCACACCTCCTTGATAACAAATAGCAGAGGAAAGTGGGAAACCTTTTTGCAAACCCTGTACAAACTACCCCGCTACATCTCCATATCAGGAATTCCACAACAGAGCGTCAAAATAGGCTCTTGAGACAAAAAGGAACTAAAAGGACTGGGAAAAAAATTACAAAAACCCAACAGAATTCTACCACAACACAGGACAGGCCTTATACAAGTTTTGTCAAGGCAGTAGTATGGAAACGAGTAGAAATGACAAAAATAAAATAAAATAAATCTAAAAAGCTATGCTGACTCTTATGACACGTTGCTCTCAAAGACTCTGCTTCATTTAGTTTGTGTATCTGAATTAGTCGCGCTGGGAGTACAAATTAAAAGCATCCCCAAAGATATTCCTGGTCCAGCAAAACTGTGTTTCTCAGAGACCTGGTATCAGACTTTCATGCAGTATCATATCAACTGAGCACGGCTTCAGAATTGATGTCACCACCATCCTGACCAACTAAGGAACGCTGGGAAAGATCATATAACAGCTTTTTCTGGTAGTCATTTGTGTGGGGAACAGCTGCACGCAAGAGCTCCATTGGTAGTTCCCTCTTAATAGCTTCAGCTGGATCTGAGTCTGATAGAGAAGACTGCATAATACTATCATATTTATTTATGCAATACTTAATAAGGAGGCCAAAAAACTCGTCAAATGAAGCCTTCCAAAGTGCCCGGTTTGTTGCATTGTAGTTGCTAGCATCATGAAGATCATTTAATAGTTCAGTTGCTCTCTCCAACACAGACATTAAAATGAGGGTAGCCCCATTTCCAGCTGAGCTTCCAAGGGGGCGAAGAGGCGGCTGCTCTGAGGAACAAACCACTGCAGCAAGACAAGCACTGAGTGAACCAAGATCCATCTGATGGACACATAATGATACAACCCTTGCAAGGTTATTTGTGGTTTCAGCTCCAAGATCAGACAGGAGACCTCCAAACAAAAACCTTAAATGACGAAAAATGGCCATGCAGACGATCCGCATGAGATCACCACTTGGAAAAAGAAGCTGAAGATACCTTGCAAGGAGCTTCCGCCCCTTGGGAAGAGATACTAACCTCAAGAACACAAAATCATCCTCGGGAGCAAGTCCAACTGTGTGGCCGTTCTTGCCTAGTGGGTCAACCAATTGCATGGATGCTGCCAGCCCTTCTAACAAGACCTGCCTCCTGCGTCTCAACTGGGTTCCACCATCATGGAACTGATTGAATTCTATAAAACGATCAATATCATCTACATCAAGAAGAAGGCAAAGACCATCTTCAATTGTGACTCTGGCTGCAAGCATTGGCTCCTGTTCTAGGGGCTTCTCAGCGGAATTCTGCTCAGCATTGCCACCAACAGTAGAATTTGGAGGTTCAACCTCAAGAAGAGGACGGGGTCTACGAATCGAAGAGAAAGGAATTCTCCCAAGAGCATCGACCTGGAGAAAAGCATGTGGTTCAGCATTCACTCGTGCTCGGGGAGGAAGATCCCTCAAGTGAGTTGGGCAGAAATGATGTTTGAGCTTTGCCCCAGCTGTTTTCTTTGAAAGGCAAGCCTGGTGATAATAATCATCCACGTATGGGTCGTTACTGTGTGTTGCAGCTAGCTGCATCCTGAGAATCGTTTCAATTTCATCAGTAGTCATATACTTGGATCTGAACTGCGGCCAGCCACTATCAAACTTCTGACCATTGGAATCAAAGCCTTGTTGAGGATAACGCACCATTGGCCTAACTTTCTGAGCTGATTTTGGTCTTTGATCCCTATCACCCAGACCAAGCATTGAGTCAAAGTTGTTCATCATTGGTGGGGATGGAGAGAGATGGGGATTGAACACTTGAGACTGCATGCCCGATAAATGGCCCAATGACGACTGAACTGGGGCATGCAACCTATGCTGCTGTGACTGAAGTTGTGGGATCAACTGTGGAGGCATTAGCCCATTTTGATGAGGTAATGGTGGTTGCAACATACTATTCAAGCGATTGGGATGATCTCCAGGATATAAGCCTGTGTGATTCACCCATTGGCTTGGTGGCCGGCTATTAGCAGAAAGACCAGAACTGAATTGAGGCAAATTCGCACCATAATGTGGTGATCCATGATGTAAGCCACTCAACGGAAGCTGAGAATTAGAGAAGGGAGGTAATGGCATTTGGGGGCCACCAGCAAGATATGGAATATTTAGATGACTGTGGTTCGGTGAAGACTGTGGAGATTGTCCACCTAGGGGAGGATATGAAGTGTAGGAAGATTTTGGCACAAGAATAGGTTCACTGTAGTAGTGTTGCTGGTGTGGTTGCTGCTGCTGCTGCTGCTTCTCAGGGTATGAAGAGGTTCGGTATAGAGGCTTTAATTCTGCAAGGCGAGTGGTAGAAGAATATGGTTGGGAAGACCACTTTTTGCCATCCTCAACGCCATCTTGGTCAAGTAGCTGTTGATCAAACCAATTAGGAAAATCCTCTCCCTGTGCCCATTCAGCAGCAGATGAACCTGCAAAGTTTTTATCACACAGATATTTCATTTATATTCATTCTTCACAAATCCAAACTTGGAAAAATCGTTTTTTATACAATATATGAATTAAATTTAACTACACTATTAAACTCAAAGATTAAAAAGAGGTGTAAGGACATCATCATGATAAAGGATTTCAAAATATCAAAAAAAGCAGAACAAACATCCAGCATATCAATTTTGTTCTGCCAAGTCCAAAATTCCAACTTTCCAGACGAGTAAACCTACAACCTTATTGGCTAAATTTGAACTGCATTTACGTAGCCTATCATTAAATTTAAATGCAATTGCTAAGACTGAAGGAACTCAAGTAAAAAAAATCACAAAGTAAAACAATCTTTGCCAAATAAAGAACCCACCTGAAACATTCATGTCGAACTAGAATGAATACCGGTTACATTTCCTTTTAGTAATAAGGAGCATTGCTCCGTGTTTATTTTTTATTGCAAAAAATTTACATCTTGAACAAGAGATTACCAACACCTAGTCTATTCTTATGTTCAAATTGTCATACATTTGGCATTAATATTTTGGTCATAATTGAAGAGCTCTGTAAACAAAACCACATGCATCATATGAGATATGCCAAGACAATAGTGTGGTAAAATAGAGTCCACAATAAGGTATCCCAATTTCCTTAGCTTCACCTAGAACTTTTATGGTACCCACTCGTATGATTATCAACCATGTGCAACCTTAACCCCAAAAATGCAAATAGCTGGACTTCAGCAACAATCATAACATGATGAAGAGACAAAACACTGGAATGAAGAATAGCATACCTAAAATAATAGACAATGGGTGTAGCTCGGGAAAAAAATAATACTACAAGTTTATGGATTGATTAAGTTTCATTCTTAAATTTCACATTAATAAAAAATTATACAGGGATTAATACTCTCACTTGTCCTTATATAATAGGCCAATTTTCTACTGTCTTTTTTAAAAAAAGCATCTAATCTGTCCTCATATTTTGAGCTGGTTTCTAATCTATCATTTTAGTTAAAATTTTTGACTAATTAAGTCAAATTAAGTATGTAATTTGTATATGGTATGTAATTTGACAAAATTGCCCTTATTATTTGGCACAAGTGATCTATGTGTATTAATATGAAGATTAATCTATGAAAATTGGCCAAAAATTTTGACCAGAAGGATAGATTAGAAACAAGCTCAAAATATAAGGACAGATTGAAGGCCTTTTTTTTTTTTTTTTGGAGGGGGGGGGGGGGGATTGGAAAATTGGCCTGTTAAGGACAAGTGAGGGTATTAACCATTATACAATGGAATACTTACTTTCTCTGGAGCCCCTATCGCCAATTATCCCAGTGCTTCTTGGTCCACTGACACCCTTATTCAGCTGCCAAAAATGAGCAATCAAGCATAGCCAATTAAGCAAACCCATCATAATCCAATATTTTAAGATAGTTCTTACACTAATACAAAGATATGAAACAGCCCATATACCTGCTACATGCCAATTAGACCCAAAGTAAAAAAATTTTGTTGCTTACTCTTTCCCTTCTTTTTTCAAATTGGTTATAATACACCCCAATTACACCTATTCCTTTACCAAACGGAGCTAAGACCCAACAGCTGAAAATTAGCATCAGTAATATTTGCTTTATTTAAACTCAAACCATCTTCTAGAAAACATAAGGTTCTCCACATTTGTTGAAGCGTCAAAGATAAAAATTGCATGTTTACATACATCATTTCAATTTTCCTTCGCAGAAGACATTACTAATAAGTAGATTTGTTCAGAAGTAAAACATGTTTTTCAATTGCTCTCCCTTTTCCTCTGGATGGGAGCAGGTAACAGCTTTGGAAAAACTATAAATAAACCAATGTTGTGTAGTAATAGAATTAAAACTGATACTTCATATGAAAAACTTTCTCCTAAAGATAGATCCTAAAAGATGTGACTAATTGGCTAATTTGCAGAAGGATTGAATAAAAAAGGAATCACATGCATAGAGTTGTTACTTGTCAAAATCAGAAGTGGTTTAAAGACATAGCAACTACATAGTTGAAGCCTCAAATCCTACATAAATTCTGCCTAAATATCCAGCCTGTTTGCTTGCTTCAACTGTCAGATGGCCTTCAATACACGAGTATGGATGGCTGTCTTACTGCTTGTTAGACACATTTACACATGACGACATGAAAACAGTGATATATTAAAGACATCCTCCAATGCAGCTTTATCAAATCAAGATCATATTTTTGAAAACCTTCATAGCATGCAATATAGTATCAGTAAGTAGTGTGGACTGACCTTTGAAAATGTACTTGCAAGATCATCAACGTCAGATAGAGATTGTAAAACTTCACCCTGCAAATAAGAAAGGAACAATTAGTGACACCAACAAAGTAGGTACCAATTTTGAGTCGAAGACCTAACTGCCAGTTTATATAAATCGATTACGAATTCACACATTATTCTAGAGTTTAGGACCCAATCCTGAAGAACTCATCCCCCAACTGAACAATTAATGACGCCAACAAAGTAGCTACCACTTTTGAGTCAAAGACCCAACTGCCAGTTTATATAAATCAATTACGAATTCACACATTATTGTAGAGTTTAGGACCCAACCCTGAAGAACTCATCCCCCTGCCTCCACCACCCAAAAGAAGAGCCACCAAGAAAATAGGATTGATTGTACCTGCAGCCCCTCAATCATTATCTATCCAATTTGAAACACATCCCTCAACCACCAAATCTTCTGATACAGCATTTGATAATGTTCCTAATAGTAATGTGTTAGGAAGTCCTTTATTCTACAATTTCAACAACTGTTCCCAGCATGGAGCGCAGCAATAGCACAATATGCCTCGCTGTTTGAACAGTTACATAACAAAAAGTTAATGGAAGTTTTAGATGTTAGGTGCTAAGAAATTGGAGGCGGAAAAAGTTGAATCATGTTAAAAGATTTGGTAGTTAAGGGACCTATTTCAAAATGCACTACTTGAGGAACCACTGAACATGAGTTAGAATCTTAATTTTGACACCCTTTGTTGAAACTGCGCTGGGACTTTCAAATGCTGCCAAAGTACAGAGAGTGACACTTGATACACCACAGAAGACCCTCATTTTCATCTTAAGGACCACCTTTCATAGTTTCACTCTGGCTCTTTCACAAAAGATGAGAAAAAAGACAACAGAGCACCCATTAGGAAATTGACTAGCCACTTAATTCAAGCAACCTCTCTGAAGCAATCTCCTCGATGAGTAAGAAGATCTGGTACATCAGAATAATGCTAAAGATGTACTACATTCATTTCTCTCTTTAAAAAAGTTTCTTCATTTATTCGCGGGGGGAGGGGAGGGGGAGAGGAGGGAATGAGCAGCAAGCTACATCAGTTTGGGAGATCTAAATATCCACAACAAAATGGAACACTTCCCTAATTCTTCTGAAATAACATGAAAATGTTCCTAAGACCAGAACTGTTTCATCTCAAAGTAAATCAAAGAAGCAAATAAAAAGGCGAGAAAATCTCAAAATGAAGAGAGAATGGAACCTCTTGTCTATCAAAGAGAAACTCCTCCTCTTCAAAATCAGCAGCAGGCAACTCCTCCTCATCATCCTCCAATCCACCTAACTCAACTTCCTCGACAAGATCTTTACCAAAGAATGCATATTGAGATGCATCAAATACAGTACCTTCTGCCCACAAAAATATTCAAGTAACCAGGTCAATGTCAAATGAAGTGGAGCCCCCTCCATGTTCAGATAAGCTAAAATCGCAAGACAAAACCAAAAATGCCTCACATAAATAGATGGCAAGTGCTTAAACAAGAACGCAGTTCAACTTACATTAAGCTCCGCTTTGAAGCTAATATTAACTAACGAATCACAAGAAGCATTCCCTTATCAGCCATTAACAACCAAAGCAGCAATAGATTTTAAATAATCCAAAGACTAACTTAACTATTTAAAGATAAAACAACTGTTCTATATAAGTTCAAATAAACCCATCAAATTTCACTAATTAGACACAAAGCAGATCCTAGAAACATAAATCACACACAAATTCCAAGTTAATCCACAACTTTTTAACGTTGACCCACAAACACAAACAACTTAAACAAACCATTTACACAGCACCCCATGATGGTTTCCTCCATTTTCTCCAGAAACAAACAGAAAAAACAACAAAACAGATCTCCAAAAAAATTGAAAAAAACCACTAAAAAATAAAAGGAAACAAACCTGTAGAGTTATCTCCAATCTTGGGAACTTGTTCGATACTAGCCCCATCCATCATCATCTACACTTTCTTTTGGGTTATGTTTTTAAATCTTTAAACCCCTCAAAAATTAAAAACTGCAAAACGCCTAATACAAAAACGGAAAAAAAAATCTAAAACTAACAAAAGCTAAAAACCAAAACTAATTTTTTTCTTGAGGGAAGGATCTGTTTCTGTACAGTGAAGAATTTGGCACTGCTTAAACTACAATAATAATTCATGCTAATTAAGCTGTAAGGTTCTTTAGCTCTTTTTGGATTAGAAAGAAAGAAAGGAAGAGAGGAACCCTAGAAAGAAAGAGATAACGATCGATTACAGTTATAAAATATTTATTTATTTAATTATTACTACTATTTATTATTCATTTTTTCATCAAGATTATTATTTATTGCATAGATGGATGGATAACAGGGAATAGAATAGACCTTACAAAGAAAGGTCGGTGAGTTTTTGTCAAAAAAGTAATTCATTTCTTTCTCTTATTTTTTTTCTAAATTTTGTTTTTTTTTTACCAAAACTTAATATTATGTGTTTTTTTAAAAAAAAAAAATCAGCTATTTTCGATTAACAAAGCGTTGTCTTTGTCGATTTTAAGGTCTTAGACAGAGGTTGATTAATAAAAATTAATTTCACGTAGTTTCTTTTTAATTAGAATATGATGCATTTAAATGCGTTTTTTACTATTATTATTGATTTTGTAGTTTTAGTTTTTTGGGTGAGTAAATTATAAATTAGTTCTTTTTGTTTCAAAAAATAAATAAATAAATTTTTTAATTTTAAAAATTAATTATTTAATTTTTTTAATTAGTATTGACAATGATTTAATATTTTTTTATTTTATAAAATGTTTTTTATCAATTTATTTATTTTTTATTTATTTATTAAAATAAAAAAATAAAAAAATTAGTTTTTAAAATTAAAAATATTAATCAATTTGCTTCTTAAAATAAGAAGGATTAATTTATAATTTACTTTTTGTGTTGGTTTTGCTTTTTGGTTTAAAGAGAAAGCTACAGAGGTGGAAAAGGAAAGCCATCTATTTATTTTTGTGGTTTTTCTTTTTATCATTATGCAGGAAATGGGAGTTTTGTTGTTTTATTATAGAGGGTGGAGCCCAAAAGATGTGATTGGAGACTATTTATATGCTGAGTGTCATGAGTTGGTGATTGAGATAGGTGGCTAAATTATAAATTAATCCCTTTAGTTTGTAAAATAAATTAAATTGTTTCTTTTTAAAGAATTAATTAATTAATATCTTGATCATTATTGTCATGATTACCATAATATTATTTTATTTTCAAAATATGTATTCTTTCCTCATCAATCTTTCTATGTTTTTTAATTATTTTAAAAAATTTCTATTTATAATATAAAAAATAAATTAAAAAAAGAATGAAAAGAATTAAGTTATAATAGATTTAGAAATATAACAATTGATTAATTATTAAAACTAAAGAAACTATTTAATTCCTTTTGAAAAACTAGGAGGACTAGTATGTAATTTAGTCGGAGACAGGTTTTAGGTTTATGTACTAGGAGGGCTTCTTTGAGAGAGAGTTCCATTTATAGGACTAAAAATAAAGATGTTGATATCAGGGTTTAATAGAATGTTTGACCAACAAAGACTACAATAATATATAATTATCAAAAATCATTTATTTAGAATCCATTATTTTAGCAAATTTAAAAATTGTGAGATTCAATTAAATGAGTGGTTGAAAAAATAAATAGCTAAGTTGTCTTGTTAAAAAGCTCTCTTATAGACTAGTTATTAATTGTTGTATAGTTGTATTTATTATCGTTTAATAACGATTAATTAGATTTTTTCATCTAGCTTTTAACATTAGATTAGATTCGTATAATTAAACTATAATTGGTTAATCTTACGTTGGTTAGTCCAATTAATTTACAATATCTATAAAAATAAACAACTTTGAGTTGTCTTGTTGGGAAACTCTCTTGCTAACTAATTATTTATTATTTTATAATTGTGTTTATTATCGTTTAATAACGATTAACTGACATTTTTCATCTAACTTCTAACAATTTGGATTCGTATAATTAAAGTTAACTCTGCGTTTGATAGTCCAATTAAGTTAAATAGCTATATCAATGGTTGGAATTGGTTGAATGATGATACTTTGAGCAAATTTGGTAATGGCAAGATTATGTCCAAGAAAAGATGCATTAATTGTTGAGAATTGGCTAAGAAATCCTTAAATATATTCGGTTAATTATTGATTTTAATGGTCAAGTAATATTTATTTATTAGAATTAAAATTTTGTTTCAAGTAAAAGTTAAAATTCTTACACATTTGATTTTGATTTTTTTTTTTAACAAAGAAAACATGAAAAACAAGTTAGTTAATTTTATTTTTTTCAATAGAAAACATATTATTAATTTTTTTATTTTTACTGCAAAAACACCACTTATTAGACTTTTGATCATGTATCATAAGTTATAGAAAGCACATTTCTAGATCAAATCTCATGTAGCGAATCCATGTTACTTTTCTATTTTTTTTTTTTGTTAGACGGTTAAAAATATCTTCATACCGATTTGTAAGATTAAATCTCGTTTCGAATGGTTTTTAAAACCTATTTTACATATGTATGATATATATATAAAAAAAATCCTTACATTATAATATTTTAATTCATAAAATTAAGAGAAAAAATAAATCTCTTTGATCACTAGTTTACCTATTAGGGTTTCCTTAAACCCGTACTAATCTTATCTTTTGTAATTATGGAAAAAAAATTGGTGGTCTTCAATTGTTTGTGTGGTAATTGGGCCAGCATTACTGCTACTGTGTCACTAGTTCAATAGGCTCAATGGTTTTTGTCATGGAGGTCCAAAATTTATGCAGTACAGACCCAACTTTTAACAAAAGGTCTAAAGCAGACCATGAAGTTAGAACTTCAAAGTCTGGATTCCTACCCTTAAAATCATGGTAGAATGAGATATGTTTTCCTTAGAAATCAAAGTGGGTCTATGTATTAGCTAGGCTTCTTAAGAGTTTTGTGTTCATGGTGTTTCTAGGCTAGTTATGAATATAATATAATTGCTTTCTTGTGTATATTCTAGATTTTTATTTATTCGAGTATGGAAATAAATGGTGAATATAGTCCAAATAACAAATGTTCAAATTTCTTTTGGATCCTAAATCTAGTACAATCTCCATATTTTATTAGTTCAGGTTGTTCGTGAAAGAATACCTACGTTTAAAAAAAATACAATAATAAAAATAAGAAAACTTCAATAATTTTATTTGTATGTATTTATTTAGAGCCAACTTTATTGTTTTATTATAAAATAAATATACTCATATATCCTTGTATAATAATTAAAGTCTTTCATCTATTACCCAAGATGAATGGTTTGAGTGGAAGAGACTCTAGTCACTTAAGTAAGTAGTTTCTAAATTCGAGTTTTTGTGTATACAAAAAAAATCTTTAGGCGAGATGTCCTCGTCCGGTATGTCCGATAAAACAGCGAGGTATTAGTCTAGGTTTTTGGACCTAAGATATCTTGGGGGATCCAACAAAATAAAGTCTTTCATTTGTTTTTGAAAAATATTGAAATCAAATTTTCCAACTATGTTTTTTTTTTTTTTACTAAAATGTGAAAAAAAAAAACAAGAACACTTAAAGTCACATAACGTATATGTTCTATTTTTGAAGTATTTAGATTTTTTTATTTTTTATTTTTTGCATTTCAATCAAGGGTATTTCAATAAAAAAAATTATTTTGCCGAAATAATTAACTAGAAGGGCATATTGAATATTTCAAATACTTTTAAGGACAAATAGAGTGCAACTAGAAACCTAAAGACATATGAAAGATTTTGAGTATTATATAAAAACAAATATCCATGTTTATCTCATGAAATAAATTCTTATTAGAGTATTTTAAGGCTTGGCTCGAATTACCTTTTCTGTTATAAAAGAAATGGTAACAATAATAGAATTGAAGAGAAAAATGATGAAGAAATGATTTCATTATGAAATAAAGAGAATACAAAAAATAACAACTCTCACCACAAAAATCAATTGAATTAGCGACGGTCCAAAGACCCTTGCTAAAATGCCGATTGTTAAATTTTTATGATAGTTTTTGGATCGTTACCAATTTTGCGACAAACTAAACCGTCGCAAAAAAATAAAAAACCGTTGCTAAATATGGTAGTAAAACGAAAGAATATTTACGATGGTGAAAAAAAACCCTAGCTAAGTCTCGTCGCAATTTAGCGCGGACTTTGCAACGGTTCGGAGACCATCACAAATTATTAGGGATTAGCGATGCTCTAAACCGTCGCTAATTGTTTGATTTTAATTTTTTTTCACCCCCAATTTAAATATCTAAAATTAACCAATTCCTATTAAAAAAAAGTATACTAAATATCTAAAACATAATATTTTATAATTTTATAATTATTAATATAAATTATATTAAAACGTAATAAATATTATTCAATTATTAAATTCATGAAAACGAGTATAAAGTTTGTTGTTATTATAAGAAAACATGATAGCTAAGAGAAATTGCCGGGATCACTCGGAGGTTAGGTGGAGTCGTCGTCGGTCTCGGGCACGACGGATGAACTACCACCTTGTTGAAAATGATGCATGAACATCTGCTACATCCGTGATATCATCGTATATTGCTTGTCGACTATACCCTTTAACTCATTTGTTGTAGCTAATAACGATGTGACGAGTATCTTCTAGGGTTGTGATAGTACCTCGTGGGTTATGGATATCTATCGTTTTTGTAGATGTTTGATCATTGACTTCCTTAAGCGAGTGCCTCATCAGCAGCATGGAATTGCGAAGTCGCCGAGCTTGAGGTCGTATTGACGTTAGAGTAATAGTGAGATGCGTGTGACCCGAGTCCGTACATCATTTTTCTTACTATCTCCTCCACCAACGGCCTTCCTACAAATCTCATTAATGTCGGCTCCGGTCGATGCGAGTCCCCCCAACCGTCGGCTAGCAACCTCTTCCTCATTTAT